GAAGCCCCAACGATAACAACGCTGGGCACGACGGAAGTACCAAAAGTGGGAACAACTGTAAAACCTGAAACCCCAGAAGAGGAGACAACATTGGGAACTACAATACGTCCAGAAATCGGTACTACTTTGGGCGCCACTGAAATCCCAGATATTAGAACCACAAAACGTCCAGAAATAGAAACAACGTTGAGCGCCACAGAACTTGAAACAACAGTGGGTGGAACAGAAATTCCTGAAATGGAAACAACTTTCGGTGCTACAGAAATTCCCGAGCTCAAAACAACATTAGCCACCACAAAATTCCCAAAAATGGAAACAACATTGGGCGCCTTTGATGTAACTACCGAACTACCTGGTATGATGGAACCAACGGAAGAGATTTCTACTGAACCCACCACAGAAACTCCAGAAATTCCTACAACTAAAATCTCCATAGAAACTTCTGAGGGTCCCATAACAACAGAAGCGTCGGAGGAAGTTGTAACGGAAACAACCGAACAAGTGGAAAAAGCTGTGACAGAATCGGAAATAACCGATACTACTCAATCCACAAAGGTAATTGGAGAAACGACAATCGAAAGTCAAATTTCCGTTACAACACCAAGTTCTTCTGTAACTGAAATTCCTGTAACTGCCCCAGAAATTATCGAAACTTCCGAACCTACTGTCGGAGAAATTACCGAAATTCCCAGCACAATTCGGTCAACTGTTACAACCGAAGAAACAACCACAGAAAGAGGAGTACCTACCACAGATATTGCTGTGGAAAGGACGACTCTAACTTCTGCTGAGGAATCCAAAGATAGAGAAATGACAACAACTGCAACGTCATTTGAAAAGGAATTTACAACAGTCCCACTTGAAATTACAACGCCATCCGAAAGAGATACAACCACACCTCTGAGAGCCGATGCAACAACCGAGATCTCCACCCCTTCTGTCACAACTCCAGTGGTTACGGAGACATATGAAACAGAAATTACCACAATTTCATCGGAGACTCCAAAGTCTTCTGAAAAAGAAATGACCACACAATCTGCCGAAACATCCACACCTTTTGGACTAGAAAATACTACTATTTCTTCCACGTTCTCTGAAAAAGAATTCACAACAATTTCGACGGAGATTTCCACCTTCCCAGAAAGACCAGAAATGACCACAGCTCCAGCAGGAACTACTGCGACTTCCGAGGGAGAAACGACCACAACTCCAGGTATCGATAAAGTAACTGCAATTTCCACATCCTCTGAAAGCGAGAAAACCACCGTTCCATCAGTGACTTCTACTTCCTTGGATAAAGAAATTACTATAACCCCAAAAGAGGGACTCACTTCCTCAGAAAGACAAACAACAATTTCAAGTGCCGATAAAGTAACTGAAACAGCTGAGACTTCCACACCATATGAAAGAGAAATTACCACAATAACGCCAGAGATCACTACTACATCCGAAAGAGAACTTGTCACAATTCCAACGAAGATCTCCACAACCCTAGAAGGTGAAATTACCACAGCACAACCAGACATTTTCGTTACAACTGAAAGTGGAGTCACAACATCTGCAACGAAGACTTCAACTGACTTCGATAAAGAAATCACCACAATTCCTTCAGAAATGCTTACATCACCTGGAAAAGATGGAGAAATTATCACAATCCTATCCGAAATTTCCACTTCATCTGATAGAGAAATTACAACAACACCAAGCGCTGAAAGACCTCTGACAACTGAAATGGCAATAGATATTTCCACAACTTCCGAAGGAGAAATAACCACAACTCCAAGCATCGATAGACCACTGATAACTGAAATACCTTCCGAAATTTCCACGACACCTAGTATTGAGGAATTAACAAAAGAAAATGTTACATTGATGCCCGAGGAAATCACAACAAAGGTTGTAACCGTTACTCCCGAGACCATAACCACAATTGTCGGAATCAATGCCACCTCTGGCGAATTCGTTACCTCATCTACTGAACCGGTAACTAAAATATATACTGTTACTCCAATAACGCTTACAACTGGTTCTACACCAATTTCGGATGTTGAAACTACAACAACCAGTGTTCCGCTGTATACCGTCAATACAACCGAAACATCCACTGCCGTAACCACTGAGACGAAATTTGATTTAACAACTCTCACTGCCACAGTTGCTAAAGATATCACTGCCACTACGCTAGAACCTTCATACATAAGTACCATGACTACGCCCAAATTCGATTTAGCCACACCACATTCAACTGCCCAGCCAACACAAAAGACCTCAACGACCATTATACCATTCTTGACGACGACAAATCGTACTGACATCTGCTGCATAACGGACTATGACTGTGCCGACGATGAAACATGTATTGGACGTAATTGTGCTAAACCCTGTAATTTTTATCCGAACATATGTCAAAAATATCGACCTATATATACGAAATGTCATACCCTCAAACATACACCTATGTGTTTCTGCGCACACGTACCCACCGATCCAACAGCAAGTGATTGTCACATCATAGCAGGTAACTGAAAACTGAAATGAAACGGTCCAAATGTGTGTGTTTTGTTTATTGTATCTCTCTCTACATCTTCTTCCTCCTACTATTACTCCTATTCTGTGGAATGCAAGCGAAACAAACAAAAAAAAAGCGAAATCCATAAACTGGGGAAAATCAAAAAAGGGGTTTATGGTTCACCTACATACATCGGAATGAATGAAGTAATGAATGGAAGAATCACAAAAAAACGGGTCAATGATGTGTTCTGTTTTAGTAGATCTCAACGAACAAACACACCGTATGACTTGGTGGAATGAGATCGTCGTCATCGTCATCTGTTGTGTCTCAGCATAATACGGATTATTACACACACACACACCAATCCAACCACCCAACCAAATACACTTGCAAAACACACCCACCCACAATCACAGCATCTTCAAATTAAGAACAGAAGGATGTCTTGTTGTCTTGTTTTTTCCTGCATCCCATATATATGTCTCTCTCTCTCTCTTTGTCTCTTACTTACTTACTCTCTTGGTTTTCTCTCCATATCCCCCATGTTGAACACACAAACACAAAACAACTCTCGATGCTAGTGTTGGGAAATTTCGTTACTTGTGATAACTGGTTATTATAATTTTTTAGAGAGTACTTGATATCCGTTCTCAATGGCGGAACTTTCCTTATAACCTAACGGTAAAAATCGCATATAGTTGTCACCAAAAAGAAAATATAGGATCACATCAGTGTAATTGAACACTTTACGTCAATGAACAGATGAATTTGTTATTTTGAATAGAAGAGGCGGAACAATATCTAACCAATTGAAACAGGGTAGGATTTACCTACCAGCCTAAATCAGTTTTCAACTAAGTTAAAAATTGAAAAAAATAAAGCATTCACGAATCTGACTGAGCTCATCATCGTTCATTTGAACACTTCACGAAAATGATCAGTTGAACTAGTCCTCTTTGAAATCGCTTCTTTTAGATCAATGGGATAAACGGATTCAACTGCCGGCATAAATAAGTAATGAACTAATTTGCAAATCGCACAAAAAACAAAGCTAACGTAAATCTGACCGAGCTTAACAAAGAATATCTTCTCTAGAAACATTTTAGGCCGGACTATTTTTGTAGAGATTTCAAAAAGCGCAGATTTTTTAAAAATATTTTCAAATGATTTTAATGAACGTAGATTTTAAATCTATTTTTGCTAAAGGGTTTAATATGGGTAGTTTTTAATGCAATATTTTTCCAATGATTTAAACTTTTTTTCAAAGAAAATTACAAATATTTTTGAATTTTCCCAAATATTTGCTTCTAAGCACCAAGAAGAATAATGATCGCATGAATAACCAGTACCCATCAAGTAATCGATTATTGTTACAACAGTAGTATTCTTTTTCGATTATCACAAGGAATGAAATTTCTGTCTCTCTCTTTCTACTCCTGTATCCCCGGAACACTTTTCTTTTACAGCCAATACACAATATCTCGACAATCATTTTTGGAAATCATGTGGCCCCCGCTCTCTCTCTCCCTCTCTGTTTTGGTAAATTCTTCTCAATCTCATGTTAGTTTAGGCAAAGAAAATCCGTAAGTCTGGAATGTACCCCCATTGCATGTCAGAGAAAAAATATGTTCTCTCTCTCCCCATGTCTCTCTCAATGTATTTCTCTTGTGTTATTTTTGATTGTAAATGGTGTAAAGGTTATTCTTGGAATGATTTTGTTATCAACGTCAATGATATTTCAAGCACGTTGTTTCTCTCTCCCCCTGTCTGTCTCTCTCTCTCTCTCTCCCTTATATGTTCAAAATATATCTCTCTTTTTGTAGCACGTTTAGTACGAAATTGAAAAAAAACGAGTACCAAATAGTACGAATGTCAAGCATGTTAAATTGTAAAAACGTAGTTGAATTGAAACGATTATGTAGAAAAAAAGCTCTCTCACAATGAGCTTTTTTTATAGCATGTTATAGTTTAATAGTTTAGTTTTTAGAAAATCAATACTTGTACAGCAACCTATTTTCCTCCTGTAAATAATGTAAATAAATTATTTGGTTTTGGATTTTTTTACTAATCATGGTTTATGGAATATTGGTTACGGTATGGAATACAATTTTTTTTGCTTAGCATGTAAGCAGTAAGTAGCAGCATGTGTATATGTTGTGTATGCCTTTTTGAAATGATATATATCAACAATAATAATAACAACAACTACTAAATTTAACAATGAAATCAAACTAACTTAAAAAAATTAAAATTTATTTAATTTAAAAAATTAGCTGAAAATTTTAACCCAAAAAATATTAGAGAAAAAAATCAATTGAATTTTGATTTGAAAAAAATCATATTTTTTCCATTTTTTTATATATGAAATGCTATGAATGTTCTTTTTTTTAGCATATTTGTCTTTGTATGCGATTATTTGCTATGCCTTTTGCTAATTTTTGCAATTTATTTTACTTTTATTTTTGAATTACTAATTCGCATTGCACAGAAATTGGATGTGCTTCAAATTCCGATTGTCCAGCCCAAAAGGCTTGCATCAATTCCATTTGTGTTGATCCCTGCTCCTTGGCCAATCACTGTGGACCCCAACAAGAATGTAAGGTTATTGAACACCAACCGGTTTGCTCCAGACTCTGTGAATGTCAGCGCAAATCGGATTGTCCCAAAGATTTCGAATGCGATGGTTGTCAATGTCGTCAAGGTAAGTGAAGGAGCTGCGATTTTTAAAATTTATATGTCATAATAACCATAGTCAGATTCGGGACTTATTGAAAATATATAGAATATTTTTTTTAAGTTGTTTCCTTAACCATATATTTTTATACAAAATGTTTCACAAGATTTTAATAACAGAAGATTTTTAAAAATATTTTAATAAGCAAAAATGAAAGATTTTAATAAACAAAAATTTAACTATTTTCATATTTCATTTTATTTTAAATATTCAATGAGCGCATGTTCTTCAAAAATATTTTCCAAAGATTTTATTGACCGTAGATTTTTTAAAGGAGTTTTTATAGGCGTAGATTTTTTAAATATATTTTTTTAATAATTTTTTGATTCTTTTAATGAGTGTAGATTTTTTAAAATGTATTTAGGCTGAATTTTGATAAGGGCAGTCCTTTTTGGTATATTTTACAACATTTTAATATGCGTAAATTTTTTTGAAAATATATTTTACAATATTCTAAAAAGCGAATTTAAAAAAAAAAAAAAGATTTTAATAAAAATAGATTAATCTTTTTATCTTTTAAATGTAGATTTAACAAAATATTTCAAAATTTTTTATAAATTTAGATATTTTTATATTTATATTTCTATTTGCTTAATTCAATCCTATTCCAGTAATTCAACGTACACCTGGCTGTGAACACTGTGCCCCTGGCTATCTATGTGATGCCTCAACGGGAGCCTGTATAAAGGGTAAGTCCATTCAACATTTCTCAAACAAAACCCTTTCAACCTAACCAAACCAAAAATATCAAAAAACATATTTGGTTCTGAAATCAAAATAAAAATTTTAACAATTCTAACAAAAAATTTAATTAGCAAAAACAAAAATAATCTAAATCAAGAAATCATTTTTAAAAATCACATCATAATTAATTAATTAATATTTTGTAAATATATATTTTTTTAATACATAATATAACTTTGTATATATGTTTTCTCCCACAAATCACTTATAATGACAAAATCTATCCTGAACCCCCCACTGATCAAAACTCCCTGTGTATATACAAAAAAATAACCAAACCACCCACTAAAGATAAGAAAATCATAACCACCGATAACACTACCACATTAACTACAACCACTACCACCACCACAACAACTACTACTACAACTACACCATCTGTAACCAAAGCCATTGAAACAAGTACCCAAACGTCAAGTACCACCTCAACGACGCAAAAATCGAAAACTACTAAAAAAGAAGATGAAGGTATAGAGGATTTTACAACCACGTCAAGTACAGAAGGATCGGATGGTAAAACAACATCAACCACAAAGGCTACCACGACGACAACAACCAGTACACCATCCTCTTCCACAGATGTGGAAAGTTCAACTGCTACGAAGACGGGACCCCCGAAAACATATCGCGATGGTGAGAATAATATTACCGATACTACAGCGGCAGAAGTGCCCACCAGTACCACACCTGGACCGGTGATTACCACTAGTACACCACCACAACGGGGTGAAGATGTTAAGGGTCCATTTGATTATCCCACAACACCTAAAATGAAAACCACACGCATTGATACATCCCTCGAAGAGGAAATGTATAATGCCACAACAATAACAGGTACCTCGACTACACCGAAATATGAGAGTTCAACATTCCCGGTTATTATGGTAACAGATAAACCAAGGATACCCGAAGAACTACCAAGTACTGAAAAACCTCTTGTGGCAATGGATAAGACAACCATGTTCCCGGTAATAACACCAGAATCTACACCACCCACTCATGAACCACCCACAGTACCAGCCACCACTCTGCAAAGTCCCTCAGATGTAATGGAACCCATTACAACAACCACACAAAAAATGGTCCTAACAAGTCCAAGTGTTGTAACCGAAGTTGAGGAACCAGTACCCACTACGTTGAAACCGAAAATTCTAGAAGGAATGACTACCACCATGTTCCCGGTGATAACAGAAAAAGTTACCACATCCCTGCCGGAGGTACCGGGTACAACAACAATGCTTATACCCGAAACTGGTGTTACTGCAACCAGTGAAAAATCTGCCTCGAATCAAACATCTGAACAACCACCAGATTTCATACCGACTATGATCCCCACTACGATTCCCACAACAACAGCAACAGAAAATACCACTACAGTAACAAGCATTACCACTACCAGCACCATAATCACAATTATTAACACCACTTGTACAGTTCATACTAATTGCGCCCCTAATCAGCTGTGTATTATGGGTCAGTGTCGTAATAAGTGTCGTGGTGATGGCATCACAGATACGAATTGTGTAAAAGGTATAAATTCCCTACCCTATAAAAAATACATAAGATTTGTTTATATATTGTCTTAAAATAATGTAGCTGTGTATATAGAAGATTTCTATTTTGTAATATTTCACTAAAATTTAGGTTAGGTATAATAACAGTTTCAAATTCTTCAATCGAAGACTAGAGAACAAAGTCGAAAATACTGAATACTTCAGTTTTTTAGGTCTCATTATTCTGTCTCTGATTTCTGTCTCTTTTCTAAAAAAAAAGGTAGACGTGACTGAAGCATTTTCATTATTGCTCCGCAAAGGAACTCGGTCAAAGATTTAGTTCAATAGTTCCTTGTTAGTCCAATCGTTCATTGGCACACTTCACATTATTCTTTCAGTGAACTGGAAAATCTAAATAGAATCCAATGAATCTACGTAAACGAGAGAAAAAATGAACGACTTGAGCTGTATGAACTAGACGAACGAAAGAACGGACCCCAGTACCGATAATTCCTTTTCCAGAATAGTTGATTTGAACCAACTCCCCCTGAATACACGCAAATATTTTTATTTTCTTAACATTGCCGAAATAGTTTACCCCTTAAAGTATTCTCTGCTCGAGAATAGAGTTGTTGAGTTAATAAAAGAAATAAATTAAATTGAACATTTCTCCGAAAAGAGCGTATGAACTATGTTCATTTAGCTCCGTTTATTGACAGAACGATGTATTCCTCCAATGTTTAAATAAAAAGGGAATGCAAATTGTATCGTTACCGAACAAACAAGTTCATATGTACTAGATTTGAGTAAGTTCAGGAATGAACAATCGATGAATGAACTTTGAACTAGATGAACGAAATAGTTCAAGTAAAGTGAACTATATGGAGCGCTTTTTAAATAACTATAATACAGAGTTTCATGTTAGTCTTGTTAATAATTATAAACGACCCATGAACAGTAGTTAGAGATCCGATTTCTCGTACTCATGCCTTGGTATTTAAAGTGTAATGACTCGTTTTAACAGAACTTCCTAAAAATGGATGATATCATGGAAATTACATCTCTTTTGGTATCCTTACAAATAATTTGAATATTCTACAGATTATTGATCTGCCTTTCAAAAATTTAACATTGGTCCGATTTTTTTTAATAGCAGTAAAGTTTTAACGATAATTTATTTAACTGCAGAAAGCTGCTTAAAATTCTTCCCAAAATATGGGAAGTTCGGCTCGTTCGCAAGAATCCCTTTCAGAATTCAACTGTTTAGATATCGAAGCTTTTGAGCTTGTAGGCCTCGTAGAATGCTGCTCTTCTTTAAAATTCAGATTAAAACAAGATACCTTTTGATGCGCCCAGGCATGTCAGATCAATGGGAATTATATTATATATAAAATCGTGTAATAAAATTCCCTTTAAATTCCATAATGTAACACCAAGTAGACTGGATGATTTAGAAATTTATACAATTTTCATCCCGACTTGGAAAACTAGGTCGTTAACAAGAGTATTATCTCACATCCCCTTCATACTATATCGTATACATAACCTCAATTTGTTAATGTTTCTGTACCGCTGTAAATATAACCTTTGTGTACAGTTAATTTTTATTTTATCTTCCATTTCCCTTACCCCTCAAGACACTGCGTGTATATAGCACAACAACAACAAAAAATAGTGTCATATAATATTAAACATAACCTAACATTTTTTTAATTAATAACAAATTAAAATAATAACAATAATAACATATTTTTTTCTAACTTATTTTTCTTAACCATCATCCAAATCAACAAACAAACCAATTACTTACCTTAACAACAACAACATCAAAAAAAAAACTAGAATCCCCTGGTAGACCTAAAAATCCGGAACCATGTCAATCGAATAACGATTGTATTGAAAGTGAAGCATGTTATATGGGTCTGTGTCAGGATCCATGTGAATTTGCCAATGTTTGTGCGGCCACAGCAAAATGTGTTGCCAAAATGCATCGTCCCATATGTTCATGTCCACCTGGACATGAGGGTAATCCAACGGTGAAATGTGTTACCGCCGATAAGTCAAGTAAGCGAATAATACTAATAAGCTAATCAACAAAATCCTCATGTCATTGCTAAAAAAAATTAATTAAAAACTTACATTAATCAACAATAAAATTAAAATAACCTTTTTTGGAAATTTAGAAAATATCAAAACCCAAACAATTCGGATTATTAATTTTATTTTCTTCCTCCCCCTGTAACAGTGGAATGTTCCCATGACGCCGATTGCAGCATAACCGAGGCCTGTATCAATCAACGTTGCCTGCATCCATGTGATGCCCACAATCCTTGTGCCCAAAATGCTGTCTGTGTCAACACCAATCATGCTGCCGAATGTAGCTGTACCGATGGCTATGAGGGTAATGGTTATGTTGGCTGTCAACCAGGTAGGTTTTGTTACTAAAATTTCAGAAACAAAATTTAAAAACTCTCAGGCACCTCTAAAACCCTTTTTTCTAATCTTATCAAAACTTTTTTAATCTTTCTTATCATTCACATTGAAAATAAAACAACAACAACACTGTAAAAATATACAACTCTGCAAATAATTTGCACTGGTGTACAAAATACAACAATGTAAACACTGCGCAAAATGATTTCACAAAAAAACTCTGAAAAAAATCCCTGTATAAATACACCGATAAATGAACGACCCACCTTACGACACCCTTAACCGACCAACAACCCATCACACCCACAACAATTCCCATTCAAACCAATACCCCAAACAAAAAATAGCTTTCAAATCTCCACCGGTCTGTCAATACAATGAGGATTGTCCTCCGAACAAGTTATGCGATCGTTTGAATCGTCGTTGCATCAATCCCTGCCAAGAAGATTCCTGTGGTGAAAATGCCGAATGTCTGGCCGTTAATCATGGCATTGAATGTCGTTGCTTGCCTGGCTATGCTGGCAATGCCTATGTTGAGTGTTCGGTTCTGCAGGGTTGCCGTTCGGATGGAGAATGTGCGGCCAGTGAGGCTTGCATTAACGGCAAATGTTCATCGCCCTGTAGCTGTGGTGCCTATGCCCTGTGTGATGTTGTCAATCATCGTGGTATCTGTAAATGTCCTCCTGGCTATACCGGAAATCCAGCAATTGCCTGCAGTCCACCCAGCAATCCATGTGATCCAAATCCTTGTGGTACAAATGCTTTGTGCGAATTGGATAATGGTAATCCGATTTGTTATTGTCCAAAGGGTCGTACAGGCAACCCCTTCAAGAATTGCAGTAAGTATTTAGGAAACCCTCTTCCATGTATCTCAGACATAAAATGCAAACTTGTTTCTCTTTCTCTCATTAGTTCCTGAGGGCGATGAATGTACACCGAACCCTTGCGGACCCAATTCCGGTTGCCGTATGGTCTCAAATTCACCCATATGTTTCTGTCTACCCGAATATGAAGGTCAACCACCTCACGTGCCCTGTCAGTTGCCATCGAATCCTTGCGATCCTTCACCATGTGGTCCCAACACCCAATGTACCACATTGTCAAATGGCTTCTCAAAATGTACCTGTCTACCGGGCTATGTGGAAAGTCCGAATACCATTCGTGGTTGCATTGAACCCATTAACCCTTGTGACCCCAATCCTTGTGGTATTGGTGCCATCTGCGATTCAACACGCAATCCCGTCTGCTTCTGTCCCGATAATAAAATTGGCAATCCCTTCCGTTTGTGTGAAAAACCATCTGTCACCATTGAGTTATGTAAACCTGGACCTTGTGGTCAAAATGCCGATTGTTATGTTACCGATAATCGTGAAGAATGCTATTGTCGTCCTGGTTATATTGGTGATCCTTATCAGAGTTGTCGTGAACCACCACGTTCCGTGTGTGAACCAAACCCCTGTGGACCTAATGCAGAATGTGTTATATCACCGAATGGTCAAAGTGCCTGTGTCTGTCCTGATGGTTTGGCTGGAGATCCCAACTCTTCGCTGGGTTGTCATGGCTATGAGTGTCAAGTGGATGATGACTGTCCCTTCGATAAGGCTTGTATGGGCTTCAAGTGTCACGATCCATGCCCTGGAGCCTGTGGTCATGGTGCCAATTGCCGTGTTGAACAACATCATCCTGTGTGCTCGTGCAACCCTGGCCTTACCGGCAATCCTGGTGTTTTCTGCTACGCTTTGGATGTCCCCAAGAAAAATAGAAACCCTTGCGTTCCCAGCCCATGCGGCTTGAACAGTGAATGTAAAGTCATGAATAATCACGCCGTTTGTTCGTGTCTACCAAGTTATTTGGGTGATCCCAAGACTGGCTGCCGTCCCGAGTGTGACATCAACTCCGATTGTGGTTCCAATCAGGCCTGTATCAATCACAAATGTATTGACCCATGTGCTGGAACTATTTGCGGTATCAATGCCTTATGTTCAGTCCAACAACATACCCCAGTCTGTCGCTGTTTGGATGGTTTCACCGGAGATGCCTTCCGTCAATGTATTGCCATTGGTGTGCTGCACAATGTGTCACGTGATCCTTGCGTACCATCACCATGTGGTCCCTCAGATGTCTGCTCAGTTTATACCGATGGCGTTGCTCTCTGCGATCCATGCTTTGGCCCAGATGCCCAATATAATCCACGTTGTCGTCCTGAATGTATTTCCAACTCCGATTGTCCCTTCGATAAGGCCTGTTTGGGTTCGAGATGCTTAGATCCTTGCCCCGGTTCGTGCGGTCACAAGGCTCTGTGTCATGTCTATGAGCACAATCCCATCTGCTCTTGTCCTCCTGGTCTTTATGGCAATCCTTATGATCATTGTGATGTACCGATTCGTGATAAACCAACACCATCACCAAGCTGCGCCAAATTGCAGTGTGGTGCCAATGCGGAATGTAAGAAGCAAAGTGGTGTCCTCAGCTGTGTTTGTCGCAAGGGTTACTTTGGTAATCCTTTCGTTGGCTGTAGACCCGAATGTGTACTAAACTCGGATTGTCCGGTGGATAGAGCTTGTGTCAATTCGAAATGTGTGGATGTCTGCTCCGGAGTTTGTGGCATCAATGCCCTTTGCCAGGTTGTCAATCACGGCCCAGTTTGTATTTGCCCTGAAGGTTACACGGGTGATGCTTTCAAACAATGTTCGCGCACACCTCAAATACCCAACACATATTTGCCAGTAGATAGACCCAGAAATCCTTGCGAACCCTCGCCATGTGGTCCAAATGCCAGATGTTTAATTTCACCAGAAGGTTATGCCGCTTGTTCCTGCTTGCCAGACTTCAAGGGTTCGCCACCTGTCTGCCAACCGGAATGTATTGTCAGCTCGGAATGTCCCCTACAACAGGCTTGTATTAATCAACGTTGTGCTGATCCCTGCCCCGGTACCTGTGGTGTTTCAGCCAAATGTAAGGTGCAAAATCACAATCCGATTTGCTCTTGTGAACAGGGTTATGAAGGAGATCCATTTGTGTCGTGTCAACCAGTTCAAGAATCACCTAAAGAAGTCGATCATCCAAGACCACAAAATCCTTGTGTACCTTCACCATGTGGACCCAATTCGATTTGTCAAGTGAAACAAGGACGCCCAGTGTGTTCCTGTGTTGCCAACTATGTCGGAAGTCCACCATATTGTAGACCCGAATGTACCCTGAACAGTGAATGTCCTGCAGATAAGGCCTGTATCCAAGAGAAATGTGAAAATCCTTGTGTCAACACCTGCGGTCATAATGCCAAATGTACGGTTATTGCCCATTCCGCGTACTGTAGTTGCGAAGAGGGTTATGAAGGAGATGCCTTTGTCGGCTGTTCCAAGGTCATTAAGCCTCAGGACCATGTTGACCCTTGCTATGCCAATCCTTGTGCTGAAAATGCTGTTTGCACTGAACGTAATGGTATCGCCAGATGTTCATGTATTGAACCCTATATTGGAGATCCTTACTCAACTGGTTGCCGACCTGAATGTGTCTACAATGCGGAGTGCCCTTCACAACAGGCTTGCATTAAACAACATTGCCGCGATCCTTGTGTTGGTACTTGTGGTTCCAACGCCGAATGTTCAGTGGTTAATCATGTGCCGGTTTGTAGCTGTGCCCGTGGTTATGTTGGTGATCCGTTTACGGGTTGCAAAAAGGATACACGTAAGTTGGAAGAATTTAGGGATACGCGAGGAAACGATATTAATTATGATTTTATATTTTGCAGAAATGAAACCCATTAGCCCCTGTGAACCCAATGTGTGTGGCCCCTATAGCATTTGTCGTGCCGTGGATGGCCGTCCCACTTGCTCTTGCCAGGAGGGTTACTTTGGCGCTCCACCCAACTGCCGTCCTGAGTGTGTGGTCAGCTCTGAGTGCAGCCAACACTTGGCCTGTATCAATCAGAAATGTGTTGATCCTTGTGTCGGAACCTGCGGTTTCAATGCCAAATGCCAGGTGGTAAATCACAACCCAATATGTTCATGTCCCTCCGAAATGACTGGTGATCCATTTGAACAATGTGTACCCAAACGTAAGTCCAGATGTGATAAATGAGGGAGGAAGCAGAATGCTTACAGCTTTTTTTATTTCCTTAATTACAGCCAAACAACCCACACCTGAAATAAATGCCTGCCTACCAAGCCCATGTGGTCCGAATGCCCAGTGTCGTGATATGGACAATCGAGCTGTATGCTCTTGTCTGCCCGGCATGTTTGGTGCACCACCCAACTGCCGTCCTGAATGTGTTATCCATCAGGATTGTCCATCGAATCGTGCCTGTATTGCTCAACGTTGTGAAGATCCTTGTGCCGGAGCATGCGGTTTCAATGCTGTGTGTACGGCATTGAATCACAAACCCGTTTGCTCTTGCCTTGAGGGTCACGAAGGTGATCCTTATGCCGGCTGTAGTATGCGTGCAAGTGAGTACCATTTCAAATATTTGGCTATCGTATTTTCCGATTCTCAGTTACCAGCATTTCAAAACAATGGAATGTTGTACTCTCTTTTTACATGTAAACTTTTAAATGTACACTCTTTTTCCAGTTTTCCAAAAAAGGTTGTGGGATATTTAAATTTTGTTATGCATGTTTTATTTTGTTACCTATATATTTATTTATTTATTTCAATTAGATATAAGTTTTATATATGTTATTTTTGTAGCTTTTATTTATTTCCCATACTCTCTATCTCTATTTTTCCTCTCTTTATCTATGTAAAATATTCATTTCCCTTACGTATATTTTTTATTTGAAACACCACCACCACTCATAGTTGTGGTACCCGATACACCAAGCGATCCTTGCAATCCCTCACCCTGCGGTTCCAATGCCATATGTCGTGAACGTAATGGTGCAGGAGCTTGTAGCTGCTTGCCAAATTATTTCGGTGATCCTTACATCAATTGTCGCCCCGAATGTGTACAAAACTCCGATTGTCCGCGTACAAAAACTTGCCTAAATATGAAATGTGTAGATCCATGTGAAAATTTGTGTGGCTATAGGGCGGTGTGTCGTGTGGCAAATCATCAACCCATGTGCTCGTGTGAACCAGGTTTTACTGGTAATCCCATGAGAATATGTGTTGAAAGGCCATCAAGTAGGTTTCCCTTCAATATAGATCTCCAAAATAAGATCCGAAAATTAAATATAAATATTATTTTTTGATATATCAGATGAATATTTACCACTGCCCCGTGACCCCTGTAGACCATCACCATGCGGTCAGTTTAGTACCTGCCGCGTTCGCGGTGATCGTCCCATTTGTTCGTGTCTACCCAATTATATGGGTCAACCACCAAATTGTAAACCGGAATGTGTCATCAGTGCCGAATGTCCATCGAATAAGGCATGCATGAATCAACGTTGTGTTGATCCATGTCCTGGAACTTGTGGTCACAATGCCAGATGTCGTGTTACCAATCATTCACCCATATGTACCTGTGTGCAGGGCTATACGGGTGATCCGTTCCATCAATGTCAACCGGAAAGAAGTAGGTCTTTTTGTTTCGAAGTGTAGACCCTCGTTGTTTTTGTAAACGTTTTTTTTAATTTTGGATCAAGGAGCAGAGCGTTTTTGATCTTTGATCATTTCACCTCATACCTAAATCTGAATATTTTCAACTATTTGGTTTTCATATTACAATCCGAATTCAAGTTGAGTCATTGCATTTATTTGACTTCGGTTTCTCAAATCTAACCCATCAGGGTGAAGTCGAATATCTCCTCTTTCGAATATTTTTGTGATCCCTTAATTTCAAAAGTATCCTTGTAATTCAGAGAAGTCGTATAAATACTGACTTTTCTCAGTCCTCTACGTGATTTCGATTCCTCAGATCTTATAATAATTGTGATCTGCCCGGACTTCTAATGGTTTTCATAATAAAATAAAAACTGTTTACAAAACCACCGAGGGACTTCGCAATTTTTCCCCATGAAATCAATTCTAATTAAACCTTATTTTTATTGTCAAAAGAACCCGAAACACCCCGAGATCCCATTGTACCACAAAATCCCTGTGTACCCTCACCGTGTGGTGCCAATTCACAGTGCCGCGTCTCTAGTAATGGTGCCGTTTGTTCTTGTCTACGTGATTATGTTGGACGACCACCCAATTGTCGTCCTGAATGTTCCATCAACTCCGAGTGTCCTTCCCAAAGGGCTTGCGTCAACAATCGTTGTGTTGACCCCTGCATTGGTTCATGCGGCAATAATGCCTTGTGTCATGTTAGCAATCATGTACCGGTGTGTATGTGTCAGGATGGCTTTACTGGAGATCCATTTTCGGGTTGTTATCTGTTAATACAAAGTAGGTGTTTCAGTTCGTTTTTCTTGTTAGGGAGACTATTATCAGGGCCGAAATAATGCTTTTTATTGTTTTATGTTTGCTGTAGTACCCGATGAACCTGCCCAACCCTGCAATCCTAGCCCCTGCGGTTTGAATGCTTTGTGTGAGGAACGCAATCGTGCGGCAGCATGTAAATGCATACCCGAATATTTTGGTGATCCATATGTTGAATGTCGACCGGAATGTGTTTTGAACAGCGATTGTTCGAAATCACAGGCCTGTGTCAATAATAAATGTGTGGATCCCTGTCCGGGTGTGTGTGGTCATAATGCCGAATGTTATGCTTTAAATCATCAGGCAAATTGTGAATGTCTGTTGGGCTTTACGGGAAATCCCAATGTGGGTTGTCATCCCATACCAGAGACACCTAAATGTAAGCCAAAGAACAAAGAACACTTACACCACTCACACAAAAAAACCAATTAACAACACCCAGAAGGAGTTTGAGTTGCACTCACAAGAAAAAAAGATCTAACCTCTAACCAACAGAATCCCCTGAACTCACAAATTTAATTCTCCCCAATTACCTCCAGAAAACAAATTGGTTTTATACTCACCCTTAACACCTCGAACTCCTTCGTTTAGGTATTTTCGTACCTAATTTGGATTTAATATCCCAACCTAACCCCAGAAATAATACTTGGTTTTAAATCCCCATTGTGGTTTATATGTTACCCAACATTTTCCTCTATTTAGATGATATTACCGTACCCAGCAATCCCTGTGTACCCTCACCATGTGGTCTCTATAGCAATTGCCGCGTGCAAAATGGCCACGCCGTGTGTTCATGCCTAGCCAATTATATTGGTGCACCACCAAATTGTCGACCCGAATGTATGACCAGCTCCGATTGTGCTCAAGACAAGTCGTGTATCAATGAAAAATGCAAAGATCCTTGTCCGGGAACGTGTGGCATAAATGCCCAGTGTCGTGTTGTCAATCATAATCCCATATGTTCATGCATGTCTGGCTATACGGGAGATCCATTTATACGCTGTATATATGAAGAAAGTAAGAAATGGCGAATGCTCTCGTCGATCTCATGTTCTCATCCATATCATCCATACCATACTCTCATCATTTATACTCCTCTCTCTCATACATGTACAAATATACAATTTTGTTTTTTCTCTTTCTCTTCCTTTTTATGTTTATGTAAATGTTATATACTCTCTCCTACCTCTCCTGCATGCTTTATTGCTCTCATTTATCATATCTACAAAAAAACAACAAAACACCACAAACAAATAGAACGCCCTGTTGTAAGAGATCCTGTGAATCCGTGTGTACCCTCACCGTGTGGTCCAAATTCACAGTGTCGCGTTTCACCGAACAACGAACAGGCAGTTTGCTCTTGCCTGCCGAATTATATTGGTCGGGCGCCAAATTGCCGTCCCGAATGTACTTCGAATTCAGAATGTCGCGGCAACATGGCTTGCATCAATCAGCGTTGTCAAGATCCATGTCAGGGTTCATGCGGTTCCTTCACCACATGTATTGTAAATAATCATAGACCAATATGTCGTTGCTTACCAGGTTATACGGGTGATCCATTTTCAGAATGTAGTCCGCAAAGTAAGATTTAGTTTTTAAGAAAGCTATAGCTTTTTATATATAAGTTCCGCTAGGAAAAACCGCTTCGCTTCGTTTGAAATATTTTAAAAATTGCAATTTAATTTTCCGCGTCTAGTTGTTGTACCGACGGAGAAAGCCGAACCATGCAATCCCAGCCCCTGTGGTGCCAATGCCGTTTGCAAGGAACGTAATGGTGTCGGCTCCTGTACTTGTTTGCCAGAATACCATGGAGATCCTTACACCGAATGTCGTCCCGAGTGTGTACTCAACACGGATTGTTCCAAGAATCGGGCCTGTATCAACAACAAATGCCGCGATCCCTGCCCTGGAGTATGTGGTGTTGATGCCCAATGTCATGTCATCAATCACGCACCAAGTTGCAGCTGTCCTTCCGGATACACTGGCAATCCTTCGGAATATTGTCGCAAGGAAATTAAACGTAATAGCCCCGTCAAAAATTTAGGTTTTTTAGGCCTCAGAAATTTTCAATTTGTTTTCCCTACGTTTTTTATAGAATTAGACACCGTCAAACCATGCCGTCCTTCACCCTGTGGCCCCTACAGCCAATGTCGTGAAGTTAATGGTCATGCGGTCTGCTCATGCTTAACCAATTATATGGGTACTCCACCAGCCTGTCGTCCTGAGTGTTCGGTTAGTTCCGAGTGTGCTCAGGATAGGGCTTGTTTGAATTTGCGTTGTGTAGATCCATGCCCAGGTACTTGCGGCAATGAGGCTGTATGTAAGGTTACCAATCACAACCCCATATGTTCTTGTCCCCTCGGCTATACGGGTGATCCGTTCATCCGTTGCATCAAGATTGAAGAACGTAAGGTGGACGATGACAAGCCAACGAATCCTTGTATACCCAGCCCATGTGGCCCCAACTCTCAATGTCGCGTTGTGGGTGAGACACCAGTGTGCTCTTGCCTACCCGATTTTGTCGGTCGTGCACCCAATTGTCGTCCCGAGTGTAGCATTAATTCCGAATGTCCTGCCAACTTGGCTTGTATCAATGAGAAATGTAAAGATCCTTGTCCGGGATCGTGTGGCTTCAATGCTTTCTGTAATGTTGTCAATCACTCGCCTGTGTGTAGCTGTGAGCAGGGTTATTCTGGAGATCCATTTGCCGGTTGTAATCCAACACGTAAGGGTCTCAATATTCCTCTCAAAATGTTAGGGCAAAAATACTAAACTTAGGTTTCTCTTTTCCTCAGCACTACCCGAAGAACATCTAACACCCTGCAATCCCTCACCATGTGGTCCCAACGCCGAGTGCAAGGAACGCAATGGTGCCGGTTCTTGTACCTGTGTTGAGGGTTACTTTGGTGATCCATACAGTGGTTGCCGACCTGAGTGTGTGGTCAATTCCGATTGTCCTCGTGACAAGTCTTGTGTCAATCAAAAATGTACCGATCCCTGTCCGGGTGTATGTGGCATGAATGCCGAATGTCGTGTTGGCAATCATGTGCCAACATGTCACTGCCTACCAGGTTTTACCGGAAATCCTTTGAGTTCATGTCGTCTGATACCAGAACCTGAACCAACTCCAAGTAGGTTTCCCCAAAAACCGATTCTCTGCGAGCATACTTTTAATGTTTCCACTCGTATTTTCCCTCCTCAAATAGTTGCCCGCGATGAAAATCCTTGTCAACCCTCACCCTGTGGCCCCTATAGCCAATGTCGTGAAGTTAATGGACATGCCGTTTGCTCATGCCAAACCAGCTATATTGGTTCACCGCCCAATTGTCGTCCGGAATGTATTGTTAGCTCGGATTGTGCCCAAAATATGGCTTGTCAAAATCAGAAATGTATTGATCCTTGCCCTGGCACATGTGGACCCGAAGCACGTTGTCAAGTTGTAAATCACTATGCAGCATGTTCCTGTCCTCCTGGTTATACGGGAGATCCTTTCAATAGATGTACTAGAATTAAATGTAAGCATGTTTCTCTTTCACTCTCTCTCGAGGGCGGGAGAGAGAAAGGGAACTCCAAAAGAACCACAGAGACAAATGTTCCATAGATTCTCCATTTTTTAGGATTTGTTTCATTCTCCCAGAAGAGATTACCTTATGGAGAAGCTAGTCCAGCTCCAATTTGGTATTCTCTTTAAGGAATCGTATTTTGGAGTTCCTTACCTCTCTCCCTTTCTCTCTACCTATACCATTATCTATCTTTGCATGATGTATATATATTAATGTATGTTTTATTCTCCCTTCTCTCTCTTTTTTGTTTGTTATTATTGTAATACTGAATGTTCTATGTCGTGTTGTGAATGTTATATCCTATGGTTCTATACAACTACTATCCAACTCTACTCTACACCACCTACAACACTATCATCTCCAACAAAATCTGTAAAAAAAAACTGTACTACTCTACCACACCTAACAACCTACCAACCAATCAATCAAACCACCCTGTACACCGCCACCCATAGTGGATGTTCGTCCAGTTGAAAAGACGGGCAATCCATGTGTACCCTCACCATGTGGACCCAACTCGAAATGTATCGATGTTGGTGGTGGTTCGCCTGCATGCTCCTGTTTACCCGACTATCTGGGACGGCCACCTAATTGTCGTCCCGAATGCATGAGTAGTTCGGACTGTCCCGCCAATATGGCCTGCATGAATCAGAAATGTTCGAATCCGTGTGCGGGTGCTTGTGGCATACATACACAGTGTACAGTTATAAAACACAGTCCTGCATGTCAATGTGAACCTGGCTACACCGGGGATCCGTTCTCTGGCTGTAGCGCTGTACAAATAAGTATATATCTTTTTTCTTACTATCCAAATTACTCTCTACCGATACACTCAAAACGGGGAAAAGGGGAACGGAAGGATTCGTCAGTATTCTTTCCACAAAAAATAAGGGATCCTTTCCTTCCCTTTGAAATCCTCGACGAACACACTCAATATCCCATTTTACTAATCCCATTTTTACACTCAATTACTTTTACAGCCGACACCACTGAACGACCACGTGATCCTTGCAATCCCTCACCTTGCGGTGCCAATGCCATTTGCCGTGAACGTAATGGTGTAGGCTCCTGTGCCTGTCTACCCGAATACTTTGGTGATCCTTACACTGGCTGTAGACCTGAATGTGTACAAAACTCCGATTGTGATCGCTCCAAGGCTTGCTTCAACAACAAATGTCAAGATCCTTGCCCTGGTGTGTGTGGCATTAATGCCGAATGTCGGGTTATCAATCATGCACCCAACTGTCAGTGCTTTGAAGGATATACCGGCGATGCTCATCGTGCCTGTTCGGTCATTGAAGTCACAACTATGGCACCATTGAATCCATGTTATCCATCACCTTGCGGACCCTATAGTCAATGTCGTGAATCAAATGGTCATGCAGTATGCTCTTGTTTGGATAACTACATTGGTGCTCCACCATCATGCCGTCCCGAGTGCGTTGTCAGTTCAGAGTGTCCACAAAATCGTGCCTGCATCCAACAGAAATGTGGTGATCCATGTGCTGGAGCTTGTGGCTCTCAGGCTAGATGCCAAGTGGTTAATCACAATCCAATCTGTACCTGCCCTGCCGATATGACTGGTGATCCATTTGTTGAATGTGTCGAAGATATTCCAACTGTTCGTGATCCTCAAAATCCTTGTGTACCCTCGCCATGTGGACCCAATTCATTGTGCCGTGAAATCGGTGGTCAAGCCGCCTGCTCGTGCCAGACCAACTACATTGGAAGACCTCCAAATTGCCGTCCAGAGTGTACCAATCACGATGAGTGTCAAAGCAATTTGGCCTGTCAAAATGAACGTTGCATTGATCCTTGCCCAGGATCCTGCGGCTCTAACGCTCTCTGCAAAGTGGTCCAACATAATGCCATTTGTTCATGTGCCGACGGTTATGAAGGTGATCCAATATCGGGATGTCAACTTATTCCACCAGTATTACCCAAACAACCACCTACCTCACCCTGTGAACCCTCACCATGTGGTCCACATGCCGAATGTCGTGAACGTAATGGAGCCGGTGCTTGCTATTGTCATGAGGGTTATGAAGGTAATCCCTACGATGCTCAAGTCGGTTGTCGCCGTGAATGTGAATCCAATGATGAGTGTTCGCCAGCCCAGGCTTGTGTCCGCTTCAAGTGTGTCGACCCATGCATTAACATTTGTGGAGAATATGCCATCTGCTCGGTAGATAATCATGTACCAACATGTACATGTCCTCAAGGATATTCTGGCGATCCATTCTTCCAATGTAAACCAGTACCTATCACGCCGAGACCAATTGTCAATCCTTGTGTACCATCACCATGTGGTCCCAACAGTATTTGCCGCAATATCAATGATCAGGCTGTGTGCTCATGTCAATCCGGATTTGTGAATCAACCACCCAACTGTCGTCCAGAATGTGTGGTCAGTTCGGAATGTTCCGCCGATAGGGCTTGTGTCAATAACAAATGTGTGGACCCATGTCAACATACTTGCGGACAAATGGCTATTTGTCAAGTAAAGAATCACAGTCCTATTTGTACATGTCCCAGAGGCATGACGGGCGATCCATTTGTCAAATGTTCCAAGATACGTAAGTTTCTACTAAACTATTATAGTTAAAATTTATAATAATTTGTCTCTTTCTCCCCTCTCTAGCCATCGTTATTGAAAGCGAACCCACCGAAAAACCACCATCCTGCGTGCCCTCACCATGTGGACCCAACTCCAAATGCCAGATTATTGGTGGCAGCCCAGCCTGCTCTTGCTTGCCAGACTTTACTGGCGCCCCACCAAACTGCCGTCCTGAATGTGTTCTCAACTCCGAATGTGGTCCCAGCGAGGCTTGCATCAATCAGAAATGCCGTGATCCTTGTCCTGGTTCTTGCGGTTTCGAAGCCAAATGCCATGTCCTAAATCATGTTCCTATTTGCAATTGCTTAGATGGCTACACAGGAGATCCATTTGTACGCTGCAGTCCTGAACCAGTCACAGAGGCTCCTAAGACACCTAACGATCCTTGTGACCCCAATCCATGTGGGCCCAATGCTGATTGCTTTAACGGAGAATGTAGATGCCAAGATAATTACCAAGGTAATCCTTACGATGGCTGTCGTCCCGAATGTACTCTCTCGGCTGATTGCCCTCGTGATAAGGCCTGCATGCGCAACAAGTGTGTGGATCCTTGCCCCGGAACTTGTGGCATTAATGCTTTGTGTGAGGTACTGAATCACATTCCAGTTTGCTCATGTCAACGAGGATATGAAGGTGATCCATTCACCAACTGCCGTTTGAAACAAGATGAACCCGAGAGACCAGCAGAACCTTGCTCACCATCACCATGTGGACCCAATAGTCAGTGCCGCAATGTCAACGATCACGCCGTATGCTCATGTATGGATGGTTTCATTGGTGCCCCACCACAATGTCGTCCCGAGTGTGTTGTGTCCAGTGAATGTTCGGCTTTGCAGGCTTGTGTCAACAAGAAATGTGTGGATCCATGTGCCGGAGCTTGTGGTATTGATGCTCGTTGTGAGGTTATCAATCACAGTCCAATTTGTGGTTGTCCTCCGGGCAAGACTGGAGATCCATTCAAGAGATGTTTGGATATTCCACCACCACCGCCAACACCCAAGGATCCTGTCGTGGAAAGAGATCCCTGCGACCCATCACCTTGTGGCCCCAACTCTGTATGCAAATCTGGACCCAATGGTCCTTCGTGTCAATGTCTACCAGACTTCTTTGGTTCACCACCAAATTGCCGACCTGAATGTATTATCAATCCCGACTGTCCCTCCACCCAGGCTTGTATCAACAACAAATGTCGCGATCCATGCCCTGGCTCATGTGGTACCAATGCCGAATGTCGTGTCATCAGTCACACGGTGTCTTGCTCTTGTCCTACCGGATTTGCTGGCAATGCTTTCGTTCAATGTATACAACAGAGAGAAGAACCCATCAGACCTTGCGAACCATCACCATGTGGTCCCAACGCTGAATGTATTGAACGTAATGGTGCCGCCTCCTGCAAGTGTGTTGATGACTATCAAGGCAATCCCTACCAAGGTTGCAGACCTGAATGTGTTCTTAGCTCGGATTGTCCCACCGATATGGCTTGCATACGCAACAAATGTAAAGATCCATGCCCAGGAATATGCGGCTCCAATGCCCAGTGCTATGCTGTTAACCATGTACCCAACTGTGTTTGCAATGAAGGCTATACCGGAGATCCATTCTCAAATTGCCGACCAGAACCAAAATTGCCACCACCAGCACCTGGCAATCCTTGCCAACCATCACCATGTGGACCAAACAGCAAATGTCGTGTTTCCAATGGCTTACCTGTATGCTCGTGCCTGGATAACTTTGTGGGAGCACCACCAAACTGCAAACCAGAATGTACTGTTAATGCAGAATGTCCCCAGAACAAGGCTTGCCACAAATTCAAGTGTGCCAATCCTTGTGCTGGCACTTGTGGCATTGATGCCAAGTGTGAAGTGATTAACCACAACCCAATTTGCAGTTGCGCCTTGGACATGACTGGTGATCCATTTACCAGATGTTACCCGGCTCCAGAACTACCTAAGGATGTGCCAACGAAACCCAAGAATCCATGCATACCATCACCATGTGGTCTGTACTCGGAGTGTCGTGTTAGTGGTGATCAACCGTCATGCTCTTGCTTGCCCAACTATGTGGGAGCACCACCCAATTGCCGTCCAGAATGTGTTGTCAACACCGATTGTCCTTCGGATTTGGCTTGTATTGCCGAGAAGTGTCGCAACCCATGTGATGGCACCTGTGGCATCAATTCGGAATGTCGCATACAAAATCATTTGGCTATTTGCACTTGTCGCAACGGTTTCACTGGTGATCCATTCTCTCAGTGTATTGAGATTATTGAAGAGAAGACTCAGACGCCGGTGGAAAGTGATCCATGCAGCCTGCAACCATGTGGAGCCAATGCTGAATGCCGTCCTGGAGGCGTTTGTGTATGCTTGAGAGATTATCAAGGTGATCCCTATGTCGGATGCCGTCCAGAGTGTACCTTGAGTACAGATTGCTCACCCAACAAGGCTTGCTTAAATAAGAAATGTGTTGATCCCTGCCCTGGAACATGTGGACAAAATGCCCAATGTGATGTCAACAACCACATACCAGTGTGCTCGTGTCCTAAAGGCTTCACTGGAGATCCATTCATCAATTGCCGTCAAGTTGTACGCCATGAGGAACCAGTCGACTTCTGCCGTCCCAATCCATGTGGACCAAACAGTGTATGCCAAGTCTCAGCCCAAGGACCCAAGTGTGCTTGCCAACAGGGTATGTTGGGTTCACCACCAGCCTGTAAACCTGAATGTATTGTCAGTTCGGAATGTTCGCTACAAACGGCATGTATTAATCGCAAATGTGTCGATCCCTGCCCCGGAGCATGCGGACAATTTGCCAAATGTCAAGTTATCAATCACAATCCAATTTGTACTTGCAACAATGGTTACACTGGTGATCCCTTCACCCGATGCTATGAAGAACCAAAGGTAATAGCACCACCACAACCTCAAAATCCATGTGTACCATCACCATGCGGACCAAACTCAGAATGTAAGGTGGTCGGTGATAGTCCAGCATGTTCATGTGCTGCCACCTTCTTGGGTACACCACCAAATTGCCGTCCTGAATGTACCATCAATCCAGAATGTCCATCAACAAAGGCCTGTATACGCCAGAAATGTGAAGATCCTTGCATTGGATCATGCGGTTTCAATGCTCGCTGTACTGTTGCCAATCATATGCCAATTTGTAGCTGTGAAGCTGGTTTTACCGGAGATCCATTTTCAAGCTGTCAACCAATACCAGGTAGGAATTTGTTTTCGAATTTGTCCCAATTGTTAGAGATTAGGCATAACCAAAGGGAAGTTGAAATGACTTTAATGGTGGTGGATATAATAAAGTGAAAGGAAATAAACAACAACAATAATAATGGTGATAAATTTTTGGAACTGTTGAAAGCAAAACAAAGACACAAAATCCGAACAAAACCTATTTGCTGGGAGCAAATTAATAATGATGCCTTAACTAAAAACCAAAAACCATGGAGCTTTATTAAAAATTAAAAACAAACAAATATGGAATCGATAATCCGCTTTTAAAACAAATATATAGCTATATAAAAAAGATATTGGTTATGCCTAAAACAAAGAATAAAACTGTAAATCTTATGAATGTGTGTGTGTTAAAAAACGTGAAAAACTCAATAAGCAACATATATGGATCATGAAGATATAGTATATGCTACAAATCAAAAACAATTATATTCCAAATATAGTTTAACAATATTTATTAATTCTTGAATGCAACTGAACCAGAAAACCATTTCCGTTGGGCGCCATTCGCATATTAGATAGCATAGAAATCTATTAAAATCAAATTTTTGAAATATTTCTTAAATTTTTACTCAGCTCTGAGTATCCTATTATCGTATTTTATGAATTTACTGATCACACTTTGAAATGTTGGGCGCCATTTGATAGTAATTTTGGTCGCTATTTGTATTTTTATTTAGTCAATAAACCTTTTGAATAACAATTCTAGCATTACAAGCTCAGTCTTAACCATAAACGTAGATTATATTGGGCACCAGCTAAATACTTCAGTGGCTCATATTTAGTTTTCCGTATAAAGTTATAGGAATGTCTGATTTTTTAAGATTGTTCCGACACATCCCAAATTATTATTTATTTTCTATTTTAATTGAATATATAGTAGATATATACTTCGAAGATCCATAGCTGCTTGAATTTCTCGAATATTTGTTTATTTATTTAAATACTACATTTTGATTAAAAATACACCCATTCCATTTATTACCAGTTTTATTCTTTGTCACCACCACACAGCGCACAAATTAGAACTAAGTTTTCATTTTACACAATTTCAAAAAGAATTTAAAAAATAAAAATAAAACATTATCGATTTTCCCAAATCGATATAAAATGTTTTTATATGTTTTGCAAAAATCACAACAACAAAAGTCGAACTTTCATTTCACAATGTTTTTTTTTTTCACAATAAATGTTTTGTTTAATTTTTCTATGTGTTGCCACTGAGCACAGTTATACACTTGCAAATTATTTTTTTTAATCTGTGTTCACCTTGTGTTCACTTCATGTTCACTTTTATGAAAAAAAAAACGAAATTAAATAAAAATACGTGATATCGTCAAATTTTATTTTTTAAAACCGCGCCAAATAGTTCTAATTTGTTAAAGCGTTGTTTAGATGACCCCCCATAATTAATTCACAATAAAAATTGTGGCTTTATTCCCGACAAACACAACTGCATTGCAAATACAAAAAGAAACGATAAATTAATTTTATTTTATTTTTATCAACAAATTACATTTATTAAAACTAAAAAAAATATTATTTATAAATCCAATACCTTATACTCTTCCCAGTAGAAATCAAAATGATAAAAATTAGACGCAAATAATTTCACAAATAATGAGTATGTAGTAAAACAGCTTATTTAGTAAAGACTGCAAACTGTTGGGCGCCGAATCAATTAACATATCTTTTAAAGGAGAGTACTAGGCATATCCCCTTTAAATGATGAATTATTTATTAGACTTTCAATCGGATTTATTAGACTTTGAATCGGATGTTCTGAGCAACTCTTGATCCTGTATTTAAAATTTCCCATGAAGTTTTTACTAAGACTGGAACCAAAAGACAATTTGTAACTGAATACTAAGGCAAAAGCCTGAAAGAGAGAAGTTATAATAGAGAGAGGGTTGTAATACTATCTCGGTGGTACTAAAAATCTATATGCACCATTGGAGAAAAATTAACTAGGCAAACAGAAGCAATAATGAACGACTAACAACAAAAAAGAAGTAGATGAACGAAATAGCCTTCAAAGTAGTCATTTTCGGAAAAACTCAACTAAGGGCGCCCGATTTAACATTTTTTGGTTTTCTTAATAAATAAAAAAAATTATGTTAGTGGAGCTTGTTATAAAAGTTAAATTGTGAGTATATTTATAATTATCCCACCTGAGGAGTTATAGCGCCCATATATATATATATATACAATTGGAAATTGCCAAATTTAATTTTTTTACTATTATTATATTGAGCCAAATTTTCAAGCTTTTAGAAAATAATTCCAAATGAAGTTTTTTCTCAGGCTTGCATCAAGAATAATGTGTTTGAATGTAAACTCCTTATATTGGGCGCCAAATTAGAATTTTTCATAATTGATCAAATATACCCCTTTTAAGCTAGAGGTTGGGCGCCAAATTGGAAGCATTTGTAAAATTGCTAAATCAACAAGGGCTTAAACTCTCCTTTACTAGCAAAATGATTTCAAATAAAGAAATTATGAAATGTACTTCATTAGATGCACCTTAATCGTAGGAAAATGTCAAAGATCGTTTGATATGTCTTGCTTGCCAAATTAGGAGTAGGAACTTATCCTCTATTAGAGAATAAAATTTTTCATTACTGGTAAAAAAATTCTTATGATACATGGAAGTTAAAGATTTTAGCGTGCAATTATAAGCCTTTTTTATAAAACATGCAAGATCGCTTCATATGTCTTGGGCGCCAAATTAGGAGTAGGAACTTATTCTCTATTAGAGAATAACATTTTTCATTACTGGTAAAAAAATTCTTATGATACATGGAAGTTAAAGATTTTTTATAAAACATTCACAATATCAAAAGATAACTTTTAGGACATTATTGAGAGTTTCTAATTGGAAGACTTTAATGTTATTGGATGATATTTTTTTAATTTTAATTACTATTATTAAAAACAAATATCTTTTGACGGCGAAATGCAGATTTCAATAATGACTTTAATTCTGTACGAGTTGTCTGAATTTCAAAGTCTATTGGAAGTTGTTTGTTGGTTATTATTTTTTCCCCCCATCTAAAGGAAAATAATTAGCTAATTGAATTAATTAGCTGAATAAAGTCAAAATTTTTATATATATATATATATATATATATATATATATATTTACTTATTATACATATATTCATATTGCAATTATTTATGCTATGTAGTAGTAGTTTGCCTTTTTTTATTACAATATATTATATATACAAAATAAACCCAAAAAATATTTATATAACGCAAAACTGCCCTGCCAAACTATGCCTTTGCCCTAATATCTAAAAATCAAACTGCCTTATTAATTTTGGAACAAACAAAACAAAATACATCGATAACCATTGTAATGCTGCTTATTTTATGACGACGAAATATAAACGTATATTTATGCTCCACTCCAAACTTAACTGAATTATATACATATATACAACACATAGTAGTTGATTTTTGATTGTTCGACCCACCCACTTATCATACAAAACAAAAAACAAAGATATGCTGCAAATTTTTGTAACTTTGGTTTTGAAAAATAAGGAAATTGCTTTGGTTTTATTTTTGATTGAAACATTGAAATTGACCCCACCCAAACTTTAATAATAATAAACAAACACCCTCCCTCATTATGGTTAACCACTTGTCCCGGCGTTAAACTTGTTTTGAAATTTTTTGTTACTTTTGCGCCTAACCCCTTAACCCTTTTTTGCTGTCGTTGAAATTTTTTTTGGTACCCATTTTGTAGCCAAAAATTGAATTTTTGGAAGTTTTTGTCTTGCTGCTTCTCTACTGATAAACAAAAATACACATCGTTGGTCGTTCGTTTTATTATTTTGGAAATTCTGCTTTCGTTAATCATTTTTGTAGTTGTTAATCTTAGTATTAATCACAATTAAACCGAAAACTAAATTGTAACCATTCATAAAATAAGCTAAAACAAATTAATATTAATAAATGAAAAAAATTAAATTAATTTAATCGAAAATAATACAAGCGTTTTATTTCGGAAACAACATACTGAACACCGCTCGTAAACTGAATCATATATTTTAATGCTACACCCAGTGTCCACAGTTACTGAACACGGCCCTAATCAAATCAAAATAAAACACCTAACTTAATCCAAGAAACACTTACCAACACACTCACACACACCTTACGCTCACAAACACAACCATCCATAACCATAATTTTGAAATTAAAGAGAGTACACTCTCCGAAAAAAACAACAAAAACTTTAGTGCACCATAATTATTATTACAATTACTGCGCCATCTTGTGGTAAATTTGTGTAAAACCATAACAACATCTGCTCATGAGAAATGTAGTGCAAAAACAACAACAACAACATTAATATCAATATCAAATAAAGTAGTGAAATTTTGAAATAACCGCCTCTCTCACACCAAAATAAGTGCAATTAAAAGCTTACGTGCAAAAACGTACTCACCACAATCTCACCACGCAAAACTCAACACCAGAGTATGTAATACTAATACAACCCTAACTACACCAGGCCTTGTATTTTGAGGTGTAGTTCTGGGGCCAAGTTCATGGAATTTTTGTTTTAATAAAATCCATTTTTTCTCTCTCTGTTTTCTCCCCCCCTAAAACCTCTGTCTTCGTCATCTGCATTACTTCGTACACCCAGAACGAGTTATCAACGAACAAATTACACCATGTGAACCCAATCCATGCGGTTCGAATGCTGTTTGCCGTGAACAAAACGGTATTGGTTCCTGTCAATGCTTACCCGAATATTTCGGTGATCCATATCAAGCATGTCGTCCCGAATGTGTACGCAACTCCGATTGCCCAACAACACGTGCCTGTACCCAAAATAAATGTACCGATCCATGCCCGGGTACCTGTGGTTCGAATGCCATATGCACGGTAACAAATCACATACCAACATGTTCCTGTCTGCCAGGTTATACTGGTGCACCGTACAGTTTTTGTCATAAAGCTCCGGAAATACGTAAGACCGATTTTTCAACGACCGCCTACGTTATACAGATTGTAATAAATTCCCCCTTTCCTCTCTTGTTTAGCCGTACGTCAAGAAGAACCCACTAATCCTTGTTCACCATCGCCCTGTGGCCCCAACTCTCAATGTAGGGAATTAAATGGCCAGGCGGTTTGCTCTTGCCTAGAAAACTACATCGGTTTACCGCCTTCGTGTAGGCCAGAATGTGTCCTTAGTTCGGAATGTGCCAGTGATAGGGCCTGTATCAATCAGCGTTGTCAAGATCCCTGCCCTGGAACTTGTGGTCTCAATGCTGAATGTCGTGTACGCAACCACAGTCCATTGTGTCAATGTAGGCCAGGATTTACGGGTGATGCGTTTACCAGATGTTTCCCCATACCACGTAAATATCTGAAACTTAAAACAAATATCGAAACCCTAGGTCCAATGTTTTCGTTTCCTTCTTCAGCTCCTCAACCAATTGTAAAAGAAGCAATACAACGTGATCCTTGTATACCCTCACCCTGTGGTCCAAATTCGCAGTGTCGCAATAATCAGGGAGTACCCTCATGTACTTGCTTAGCAAATTACATGGGTGCCCCTCCCAACTGTAGACCTGAATGTACCATTAGTGCTGAATGTGCCTCGGATAGGGCATGTATAAGGGAACGTTGTATTGATCCTTGCCCAGGATCGTGTGGCTTCTCCGCCGTTTGTAATGTTGTAAATCACACACCAGTTTGTACTTGTCCGGAGGGTTACACCGGTGATCCGTTTAGTTCATGTAGTCCGGCACCTCCCGAGGAGGTTTATAGTAAGTGCAGGATTTATTTTTTGTTTCTCTGGAAGTTGTGGAAATTTTAAATGCTTGTCTCCTAGATGAACCCACCGATCCATGCCGTCCCTCACCATGTGGACCAAATGCTCAGTGTCGTAACGGCATTTGTTCATGCCTACCAGAATATCAAGGTGATCCATATCGTGGTTGTCGTCCCGAATGTGTGTTAAATGCCGATTGTAGCCGAGACAAGGCCTGCTCACGCAGCAAGTGTGTCGATCCTTGTCCGGGTACTTGTGGTGACAATGCCATTTGTGAGGTTATCAATCACATACCCATGTGCCGATGCCCAGAGGGTACAGTTGGAAGTGCCTTCATTAGATGTTCTCCTCAACAAAGTAAATGGAATATGAGTTACTCTCTGAGAGAATCGTTAAATAACTTTACTTCGTTTTATTATTTAGAATTAATGACACCCACGAATCCTTGTCAACCCTCACCATGTGGACCCAATTCACAATGTCGTGTAATAAATCAGCAACCTGTTTGCTCTTGTCTACAAGGTTTTATTGGAGCTCCTCCACTATGTCGTCCGGAATGCACCTCCAATTCGGAGTGTTCGCCCACACAGGCTTGTTTGAATCAAAAATGTCAAGATCCATGTCCGGGCACTTGTGGTGTTCGCGGCCAATGCTCCGTTGTCAATCATAGTCCATTCTGTACTTGCCCCAATGGTTTTACAGGAAATCCGTTCGTCAGTTGTCAGCGTATAAGTAAGTTTGAAATTTGAGTGCACAATTCTAGGAGGGAAATTAACAAAAGTCCCATTTTATATCTAGTCGAACCGGTACGTGATGTGGCACCACAAGATCCTTGCAATCCCTCACCATGTGGTCCGTATTCACAATGTAAGCCAATTGGAGAGGCACCCTCATGTTCGTGTTTGCAATCGTACATTGGTGTACCGCCAAATTGCCGACCAGAATGTGTAACCAGTTCGGATTGTGCCAGTAACTTGGCTTGTATTAATCAGAAGTGTACCGATCCATGTCCAGGACGTTGTGGTCTTAATGCCGATTGCCGAGTTGTTAGTCACGCTGTGCAATGTGTTTGCTTTGAGGGTTATAGTGGAGATCCATTTGTACAGTGTTCGCCAGTTGTGGAAAGAGACGTCGTGGAAGTGTTAACACCCTGCAGTCCTTCGCCGTGTGGACCTAATGCAGTTTGCCGCGAACGAAATGGAGTTGGTTCCTGCACCTGTTTGCCGGAATATTTCGGCAATCCCTATGAAGGTTGTCGTCCTGAATGTTTGCTCAATTCCGATTGTCCCTCGAATCGTGCCTGTTTGCAGCAGAAGTGTCAGGATCCCTGTCCTGGTACCTGTGGACAAAATGCAGAATGTCAAGTGGTAAATCATTTGCCAACCTGTAATTGTCTATCGGGTTACATCGGTGATCCTTATCGTATTTGTCAACTTCCTGCAGAACGTAAGAATTAATTTTCTTCTTTGCAAAAAACCGGATCAATGCCTAACTGGAAATATTATTTCCTTCTTTGTTTCTTTTTCATTTATATTTCATTTATAACACCTAAGCGATACGCAATGAATATGTCAATCCTTGCCAACCCTCACCTTGTGGTCCCAATTCACAATGCCGTGAGGTTAATACCCAAGCTGTATGCTCCTGTTTGCCAGAATTTATTGGTCAACCACCGGCCTGTCGTCCGGAATGTACAATCTCCTCAGAGTGTACAGCGGACAAGGCTTGTGTTAACCAGAAGTGTGTTAATCCATGTGCCAATTCACCGTGTGGACAAAATGCCGAGTGTAGGGTTCGCAATCACAGTCCTTTGTGTTCTTGTAATCGCGGTTATACCGGTGATGCATTCACCAGATGCTATCCCATACCACCACGTAAGCTGAAAATTGAATTTGTTTCGAGATAGGTCTTTTACAACTACCCCTTCTGATTTTATAGCACCACCTCCACAAGTTGAACGTGAAGAGATACGCGATCCTTGTGTACCTTCACCGTGCGGTCCGAATTCGGAATGTCGCAATAGCAATGGGGTACCATCCTGCTCATGTCTGGCTACCTTTATTGGCCAACCACCAAACTGTAGGCCGGAATGTACCATTAACTCCGAATGTCCCTCACAACAGGCCTGTATCAATCAGAAATGTAGAGACCCATGTCCTGGTGCCTGTGGCTTCAATGCTATTTGTCGTGTCATAAATCACACACCATCGTGTGCCTGTGACGAAGGTTACATCGGTAATCCATTCGTCAGTTGTTCACCCAAACCACCAGAACGTAAGGAATCGTAGATTTCCAATTGTTGAACTTCCTAACTTAAAAAATAAATGTTTTCTGTCACAGCTACCACACCTCCTCGTTTCGATGATCCTTGTAATCCCTCACCCTGCGGTTCCAATGCCATTTGTGATAATGGCCAATGTACATGCATTGCGGAATATCAAGGAGATCCCTACGTTGGTTGCAGACCTGAATGTGTTCTCAACACGGATTGTCCACGCGACAGAGCTTGTATACAAAATAAGTGCATGGATCCTTGTCCAGGAACTTGTGCCCCTACTGCCATATGTGAGGTTCACAACCATGTACCAATGTGCCATTGTCCCGAAGGAATGACGGGAAATGCTTTCTTCGATTGCCGTGCCATACCAAGTAATGAATATGCGATATTCTCAACTTACGGTTCTTTACTGATTTCGGAATATTTTTCCCCTTCCTTAGCTCCCGTGCCAACAAATCCTTGCCAACCATCGCCGTGTGGCCCCAACAGCCAATGTCGTGTTGTTCAAGATACCGCAGTTTGCTCATGTCTAGCCAATTTCATTGGTAGTCCACCACAATGTCGACCGGAATGTACCACCAACTCCGATTGTGCTCCAGATCAAGCTTGCCAAAATATGAAATGCCGCGATCCTTGCCCTGGTACATGCGGCTTTAATGCCCTTTGTAATGTTGTAAATCATTCGCCGTACTGTACCTGTCGTCCGGGTATGACCGGCGATCCATTTGTAAGGTGCGAACCAGTATTGGAACCTATCAGGGATGTTAAGACTCCCACAAATCCATGTGTCCCCTCGCCTTGTGGACCGAACTCGGAATGTCGTGTCAATGGAGATTCGCCATCGTGTTCATGTTTACCAGATTTCATTGGAGCTCCACCCCAGTGTCGCCCAGAGTGTATTTCAAATTCGGAGTGTTCCTCGAACATGGCTTGTATAAATCAAAAATGTCGTGATCCCTGCCCTGGTTTGTGTGGCCAGAATGCCCTGTGTAGGGTATTCTCCCACACACCAATGTGTTTATGCGAAGAAGGTTTTACCGGAGATGCATTCTCAGTGTGTAGCCCTGTACAACAGGCACCACCTGAAGTTTTGAGACCTTGTGATCCCAGCCCTTGTGGCGCCAATGCCAAATGTGAAGAACGCGGTGGAGCTGGATCGTGTCAATGTCTACCCGATTACTTTGGTAATCCCTATGAAGGCTGTCGTCCGGAATGTGTTTTGAATTCAGATTGTCCATCGAATAAAGCTTGTCGTAATCAAAAGTGTATGGATCCCTGCCCTGGAACGTGCGGCCAAAATGCCGAATGCCAAGTTATAAATCATTTGCCATCCTGTAATTGTTTACCAGGATTTTCGGGAGATCCTTATAATTTGTGTTCTGTAATTAGAGATGCACGTAAGTTCTATAGGAACCAAGGGCTTAATTTAGATACTCAATGTTCTTTGATTTTAGCAATTCGCCAATATGTCAACCCTTGCCAGCCATCACCATGTGGTCCTAATTCTCAGTGTCGCGAAGTAAATCAACAACCGGTTTGTTCATGTCTCCCAGATTATATAGGCTCTCCACCTGCTTGTAGGCCAGAGTGTACCTCCAGTTCAGAATGTCCATCGGACAAGGCTTGCATAAATCGTAAATGTGCCGATCCTTGTCCTGGTGTGTGTGGTCAAAATGCCGTATGCAATGTACGAAATCATAGTCCCATTTGTTCGTGTAGCAACGGCTTTACGGGAGATGCTTTCTTACGTTGTTATCGCATACCACCGCGACAATCCGAACCGGTTGTACAACAACCGCCCAGAGATCCTTGTGTACCCTCACCATGCGGACCCAATTCACAATGCCGTAATGTGGGTGGTACACCATCCTGCTCCTGTCTGCCAAACTTTTTGGGCTCACCACCACAATGTCGACCCGAATGCACAATCAATTCGGAATGTGGATCCGCTCAAGCTTGTATTAATGAAAAATGTCGAGATCCATGTCCGGGATCTTGCGGAAGTAATACCGTTTGCTTTGTGCGAAGTCATACACCGATTTGTTCGTGTCAGCCCGGCTATACCGGAGATCCATTTAGTGTTTGTAATCCCATACCACCAGCTCCAACTGAAATTGTACCAGCCGATGATCCCTGCAATCCTTCACCATGCGGTGCAAATGCCCAATGTCGTGATGGACAATGTTCATGCCTGCCAGAATATCATGGTGATCCCTACACTGGATGCAGACCTGAATGTGTTCTGCATACAGACTGTGCCCGTGATAGGGCTTGTGTCCGTCATAAATGTGTTGATCCTTGCCCTGGCACTTGTGCCTCAAATGCCATATGCGAAGTGGTAAACCACATACCCAACTGTAGGTGTCCAGAGGGTATGCAGGGTAATGCCTTCACCTTCTGTTCGCCCATACCAAGTAAGATTTTGTTTGTGTCGTTTAGTTGCGAATTAGGTTTTAATGTCACGTGTATTGTAGAACAAGACATCCCATCGAATCCTTGTCAACCATCACCCTGCGGTCCCAATTCTCAATGCCGTGAAATCAATGGTCAAGCTGTTTGCTCCTGCATTGAAGGATTTATGGGTAGTCCACCGTTATGCCGACCTGAATGTACCACAAATTCGGAATGTCCTCTTAACCAGGCATGCTTGAATCAAAAGTGTTCTGATCCATGTCCCGGAGTTTGCGGTCGTAATGCCTTGTGCCACGTTAGCAATCACAGTCCCTACTGTAGATGTCCAGATCGTTATGATGGCAATCCATTTGTAAGTTGCCAACCGATACGAGAGCAAGACACACCACCGGCACCAACTCAGCCTTGCCAACCCTCACCTTGTGGTCCCTATTCACAATGCCGTGAAGTAGGTGATACACCATCATGTACCTGTCTTCCAGATTATGTTGGCGCTCCGCCAAACTGTCGTCCAGAATGTGTTACCAGTTCAGAATGTCCTTCGAATCAAGCTTGTATTAATCAAAAATGTAAAGATCCCTGTCCAGGATTGTGCGGCAGTGGTGCCGAATGTAGAGTGGTATCACATACACCAAGTTGCTATTGTCCACCAGAATTCGAAGGAGATCCATTTGTTCAGTGTATTAGAAAGCAAGTGGTACCACAATTGGATCAAGTGGATCCTTGTAATCCCAGTCCTTGTGGTCCCAATGCTCGCTGTACTCAACGTAATGGTGCCGGTTCATGTCAATGTCTGCCCGATTACTTTGGTAATCCCTATGAAGGTTGTCGTCCCGAATGTGTTTTAGATTCGGATTGTGCCAGTAACTTGGCTTGTCAAAATATGAAATGTCGTGACCCTTGCCCTGGTACATGTGGTCAGAATGCCATTTGTAATGTATTGAATCATCGTCCGAATTGTGTTTGTATACCCGGTTACTCGGGAGATCCATACCGCCAATGTTTGCAAGAAAAACAACGTAAGTTAATGAACCGTACTAAATTCTGACTAGGGCGGAAGTTTAATTTATTTTTTATCGGCTTTAGCCCTCAAAGAATATGTCAACCCATGCCAACCCTCACCTTGTGGTCCAAATTCGCAGTGCCGCGAAATCAATGAGCAACCCGTTTGCTCTTGCTTGCCGGAATATACAGGAAGTCCACCATTGTGTAGGCCTGAATGTACCATGTCCTCGGAATGTGCCTATGACAAGGCATGTGTTAATCAAAAATGTGTCGATCCTTGCCCGGGAACCTGTGGCACCAATGCCCTTTGCAAGGTCATCAACCACAGTCCTCTGTGCTCATGTAGGGCTGGTTTTACTGGCGATCCATTCTTTATTTGCCGACCAATACCTCGTAAGTTTTGTTAGGGATTGTTTGTATACAAGTGAGGGTATTAAAAGTAAATTTTGTTATTCCCACAAAGCTGAACCTGTACAAGAAGTACAAAAAACTCCCGCCGACCCTTGCTTCCCATCGCCCTGCGGTCCCAATTCGGTGTGCCGCAACGTAGGAGATTCACCGGCCTGTTCCTGTCTACCCAATTATATTGGAGCTCCGCCACAATGCCGTCCAGAATGTGTTGTCAATTCCGATTGTCCCAGCAGTGAGGCTTGCATTAATGAGAAATGTCGCAATCCTTGTGTGGGTGCCTGTGGTCTTGGTGCTCTGTGTGAGGTTAATAATCATACACCAAACTGTAGATGTCCTGCGGGTTATACCGGTGATCCTTTCAGCGTGTGTAGCCCTGCCCCGCCACCACCACCAACACGTAAGATTTGTAGGAATTTGAGAAATAGGGGATGTTTTAATGTGTGTGTTTTGGGGGGTTTTCTTATAGCCACCGTTAAAGATGATCCTTGCAATCCCTCACCCTGTGGTCCCAATGCCCGCTGTGATGATGGTGTCTGCACTTGCCTACCCGAGTATCAAGGAGATCCCTATAGTGGATGTCGCCCTGAATGTGTTTTAAATTCCGATTGTTCTCGTGACTTGGCATGTATACAAAATAAATGTCGCGATCCATGTCCGGGTACATGTGCCACAAATGCCCTATGCCAGGTCATCAATCACATTCCAATGTGTTCATGTCCTGAAGGCATGACTGGCAATGCTTTTGTTCTCTGCTCTCCAGTGCCAAGTAAATATTCGCCGCAACTCTTGAAATATGATCAATGGCAATCATTTGCGAACTTCTCTATTACAGCTCGCGTTCAAACGAATCCTTGTCAACCATCTCCATGTGGTCCGAACTCACAATGTCGTGTTGTCAATTCTCAGGCTGTTTGTTCGTGTCTGCCTTCGTTCTTGGGAACACCACCAGCCTGTCGTCCGGAATGTACTGCAAATCAAGAATGTCCTGCCAATATGGCTTGTGTTAATCAAAAATGTGTGGATCCTTGTCCTGGAGCATGTGGCCGTAATGCCCAATGTTCGGTGGTGAATCACAGCCCATATTGTACCTGCGTGGCCGGTTATACAGGAAATCCATTTGTGGCTTGTCAACAAATTATAGAACCAATTAGAGAGGATCCTGTACCACAAGATCCATGCCGCCCGTCACCATGTGGACCCAATTCCGAATGCCGTGTTGTGGGAGAAACACCATCATGCACATGCTTGGAAGGATTTGTGGGCTCAGCTCCCTATTGTCGACCAGAATGTATCTCCAACTCGGAATGTCCCAGCACACAGGCTTGTATCAATCAGAAATGTAAAGATCCCTGTGTAGGATTATGCGGAGCCTCGGCCCAATGTCGTGTTGTATCTCACACTCCTATGTGTACGTGTGCCGAAGGTTTTACAGGAGATCCATTTACGCTGTGCACACCAATACCGGTACAAATACGCGATGAACCAGTAAGGCCATGCGATCCATCGCCATGTGGTGCAAATGCTCAGTGCTTGGAACGAAATGGTGCTGGAGCATGTCAATGTTTGCCGGAATACTTTGGAAATCCCTATGAAGGTTGTCGTCCGGAATGTGTACTCAACTCGGATTGCCCCACCAACCGGGCTTGTCAAAATCAGAAGTGCCGTGATCCCTGCCCTGGAACATGCGGCAGTAATGCGGAATGTTCTGTACTCAATCATGCGCCAATATGTAATTGTCTTGCAGGCTTTACGGGAGATCCGTATAGTTATTGTGTCAAACCTCAAGAACGTAAGCGATTTGATCCGATTGGAATTATATAGGAAATATTAACGCTTGTTAACCCCTAAACTAATAGTAGTTATTGACGTTGCACTAAACTAAATTCCCGAGCACCATACCATTAAACAAACCTCCCCCTACCCCTTAAAATTCTCCCCATATCATCATTTCATTTTTTACATTTATATACAATTCTATATCCATTCGAAATCATGTAGCCATACGCCATGAATATATCAATCCATGTCAACCATCACCATGTGGTCCCAACTCTCAATGCCGTGTCATCAATGAGCAGGCTGTGTGCTCATGCCTGGCAGATTTTGTCGGTGTGGCACCAGACTGTCGACCCGAATGTACAGCCAATTCCGAGTGTCCTATGGATAAGGCTTGCATTAAGCGTAAGTGTTCCGACCCTTGCCCTGGTGTATGCGGCCTAAATGCCGATTGTCGTGTTCGAAATCACAGTCCCTTGTGTAGCTGTCGCCCCGGTATGACGGGCGACGCCTTTGTGCGTTGCTCTCCCGAACCATGTAAGACAAACAACATTTGGTTGTGCGAAGTGTATAACTTTAATTTTATCGAATTTTTAGCCATCCGACCACCAATTAAGGATGTACAAATTTATCGTGATCCCTGTGTGCCCTCACCCTGTGGTCCTTATTCACAGTGCCGTAATCAAAATAATCAAGCCTCTTGTTCTTGCTTAGAAAATTATATAGGCTCCCCACCCAACTGTAGACCTGAGTGTAGCATTAACGCGGATTGTGCCTCTAATCAGGCGTGTATAAATGAAAAATGTCGTGATCCCTGTGTAGGGGCCTGTGGTTTGAACACCGAATGTTCGGTTATGAATCACATACCCTCATGCAGATGTCAAATAGGTTTTGTTGGTGACGCCTTTGTGGCATGTAGACCTGAACCACCACCACCAGTGTTAATTAAGGATGCCCCGCGAGATCCATGTTATCCCAACCCGTGTGGTTCGAATGCCATATGTTCGGGTGATGGTGTCTGTACTTGTTTAGCGGACTATCAAGGTGATCCGTACCGTGCCTGTAAGCCTGAGTGTGTTCTTAATTCAGAATGTCCATCGAATCGTGCTTGTATAAACCAAAAATGCCGTGATCCTTGTCCGGGAACATGTGCTCCTAATGCCTTGTGTGAGGTTCATAATCATGTACCTATGTGCCACTGCCCCGAAGACATGACGGGTAATGCTTTTGTTTTCTGTCAACCGATACAAAAAAGTAGGTTTAATTTGTTTGAAGATTTTTAAGAGGTTCCAAGTTTTAACTCTACTTCCCTTTAAAGCTGAAATATATCGCAATCCCTGTCAACCCTCACCCTGTGGTCCAAATTCTCAATGCCGCGAAGTTAATTCACAGGCTGTGTGCTCTTGTCTGCCCAATTATTTGGGTTCACCACCTAGTTGCCGTCCCGAATGTGTTACCAATTCGGAATGTCCCGCAAATTTGGCATGTCAAAATCAAAAGTGTGTAGATCCCTGCCCTGGAACTTGTGGACGTTTTGCCCAATGTAATGTGGTCAATCATAGTCCAATCTGCGCCTGTCTAGAGGGTTATACTGGCAATCCGTTTGTCCAGTGTCAACGAATTAGTAAGTTAAAAATGTTACTTAGAAGAAGAGGAAGAGAGTGTTAAACATTTAATCCCTCCCCTTAGTTGAACCTCAACGTGATGTGGAACCCGCCAATCCTTGTCAACCATCTCCATGTGGCCCCAACAGCGCCTGTCGAGCTGTGGGTTCCTCACCCGCCTGCTCATGTCTCAGCGACTTTGTGGGACAACCACCAAATTGCCGACCCGAATGTGTAACCAACTCGGAATGTCCCAACACTCAAGTGTGTCAAAATCAAAAATGTCAAGATCCATGCCCAGGATTGTGTGGTCAAAATGCTCTCTGTCGTGTCATAAGCCATACACCCATGTGTTATTGTGAAACCGGTTATATGGGCGATCCGTTTGTTTTGTGTTCACCCATACCTCAGAGGCAAGAAATTGAAACGGTAGATCCCTGCAATCCTTCACCATGTGGGGCAAATACTGTCTGTTTACAACAAAACGGTGTTGGTTCCTGTCAATGTCTTCCCGAGTACTTTGGTAATCCCTATGAAGGATGCCGACCAGAATGTGTTGTCAATTCGGATTGTGCATCAAATAGAGCTTGTGTTAATCAGAAATGTGTTGATCCTTGTCCCGGCACTTGCGGTCAAAATGCTGAATGTTTTGTACGCAACCATTTGGCCACCTGTAATTGTATATATGGCTATCAAGGCGATCCGTATCGTTATTGCAGTAAAGAAGAAAAACGTAAGACCTTTCGGCTTTTTCAGTTAAATAAGAAGGTGAACCTAAGTTGTCCTTATTTTCCCGTTTAGCCATTCTCAAGGAATATGTAAATCCTTGCCAACCCTCACCATGTGGTCCCAATTCTCAGTGTCGCGTTGCAAATGAACAAGCTGTCTGCTCTTGCCTTCCCGAGTTTGTTGGCACACCTCCCACATGCCGTCCCGAATGTACCTCCAGTTCAGAATGTCCCAGCAACAAGGCTTGCATTAATCAAAAATGTCAAGACCCTTGTCCGGGCGTCTGTGGCCAACAGGCTATCTGTAATGTTCGCAATCACGTACCATTGTGTTCGTGTCAACCTGGTTACACGGGTGATCCATTTACTCGTTGTTATCCCATACCACGTAAGTTAATCGATAGGATATGTGCGACGGAAGTATCATCGAGAACTTCATCTCCAATTTTAGCTCCACCACCTGTAAGGCAAAAAGAACCTATTCGTGATCCTTGTGTACCCTCACCTTGTGGCCTCAATGCACAGTGTCGTAATGTTAATGGCCAGGCCTCATGCTCTTGTCTGCCCCAATTTTTGGGAGCTCCACCAAATTGCCGACCCGAATGTACCACAAACAGTGAATGTCCTCTGAATAAGGCCTGCATAAACATGCATTGCCTCGATCCCTGTCCAGGCTCGTGTGCCTACAATGCTTTGTGTACAGTACAAAATCATATACCATCATGTTATTGTTCACAAGGATATGTGGGAGATCCATTTACCAGCTGTCAACAGGCACCGCCACGTAAGGCCCTTAGAATTCTCTGTCCCGAAAATGAATTTTTCAATTGCCGTTATTATATTTTAGCCAAACCCGTGCAAGCGGAGGATCCTTGCAATCCCTCACCCTGTGGTTCAAATGCTCAGTGTTCAAATGGTCAATGCTCTTGCTTACCCGAATATCATGGCGATCCATATGTGGCCTGCCGTCCCGAGTGTGTTCTCAACACTGAATGTCCTTCGAACCGGGCTTGTATCAATCAAAAATGTGTTGACCCTTGCCCGGGTACCTGTGCCAGTAATGCTCTCTGTGATGTATACAATCATGTACCCATGTGTCGTTGTCCCGATGGTATGACGGGTAATGCTTTCGTGTTGTGTGAAATAGAACGTGAACCAGTCAGACTTCAAGATCCTTGCCAGCCTTCACCTTGTGGACCCAACAGTCGTTGTAGAGTTAATCAAAACACTGCCATCTGTTCGTGTATTGAAAATTATATAGGCAATCCACCATCTTGTAGACCTGAGTGTACCATCAATTCTGATTGTCCACCTCAGCAGGCTTGTCAAAATCAAAAATGTGTAGATCCATGTCCTGGTTCTTGTGGCCTGAATGCTTTGTGTCATGTCGTCAATCATGCTCCAATTTGTGTATGTCCGACACGTTATTCCGGCAACCCATTCCTGAACTGCCAGCCTATCATTGAAAAACCCGTGAAGTTAATGGATAAACCAAATCCTTGTATACCCTCACCATGTGGTCCCAACTCGGAATGCCGGGTCGTGGGAGATTCGCCATCATGCAGTTGTTTAGCCACCTTTATAGGATCACCACCAAACTGTCGTCCAGAATGTATTGCAAATTCGGATTGTCACTCGAATCGGGCTTGTATTAATCAAAAATGTCAAGATCCCTGTCCAGGAGTGTGCGGTGTGAATGCCTTGTGTTCGGTGATTTCACATACAGCTATGTGTACTTGTGCTCCTGGCTACAGTGGAGATCCATTTACAGGCTGTTCGATACCCCCGGTACAGATTGCGGATACAATTTCACCATGTGTGCCAAATCCATGTGGTGCAAATGCCATTTGTCGTCAGGAAAATAATGCCGGTTCATGTCAATGTCTATCGAATTACTTTGGTAATCCCTATGAAGGGTGTCGTCCCGAATGTGTTGCCAATTCAGATTGTGCCGCCAACAAGGCTTGCGTGAATCAAAAATGTGTTGATCCTTGTCCCGGCGTTTGTGGTCTTAATGCCTTGTGTAATGGGGTCAATCATTTGCCAACATGTCAGTGTATTCCTGAATTTGTTGGCGATCCTTATCAGAGTTGTCAATTACCAGCTAAACGTAAGTCTCGGCGTCATAGGATTCACATAGCTCTCCTTTTACTGAACTATTATTTTGCTTATGTATTTAGCCATTCTAAAAGAATATGTAAACCCCTGTCAACCGTCACCCTGTGGTCCGAACTCTCAGTGTCGCGAAATAAATCAACAAGCTGTATGCTCTTGCCTACCCGACTACATTGGTACACCACCCAGTTGTCGTCCAGAATGCACCACAAATTCAGAATGTAGCTATGACAAGGCTTGTGTCCAGCGTAAATGTGTAGACCCTTGCCCCGGTTCTTGTGGCACCAATGCCAATTGTCGTGTTGTCAGTCATTCGCCAATATGTTCATGCCAACCTGGTTATACGGGAGATGCCTTTACACGTTGCTATCCCATACCACCTAGTAAGAATTTTTAAAGAAATCTGAAAATAGGTTTTTTGAAATAACCCCTTTGTTGTTTTAATATTTAGCCCCTGTTGCGGAACCTCCTCGAGATGTTTCCCTGAATCCATGTCTACCATCACCATGTGGTCAATATTCTCAATGTCGCGATGTAGGAGGTGCTCCCTCGTGTTCGTGCTTACCCGAATATGTGGGATCTCCACCAAATTGTCGACCAGAATGTACCATCAATTCTGATTGTCCCAGCTCTTTGGCATGTATTAATCAGAAATGTCGCGATCCTTGTCCCGGGGCATGTGGCTTTAATGCCGATTGCCATGTTATCAATCACACACCGACATGTCAATGCCGACCAGGTTTAGTGGGAGATCCATTTGTCAATTGCCGTCAAGCCCCTGTGGAACCTCAACGCAGTCCCAGTGAACCTCAAGATCCATGTGTTCCTTCACCGTGTGGAATAAATGCCATTTGCCGTGACGGTAAATGTTCTTGCCCACCGGAATATCAAGGAAATCCCTTCGTACGCTGTCAACCTGAATGTATTCTGAACTCCGACTGTCCTTCGAATCGTGCCTGCATCCAACAGAAATGTAGAGATCCCTGCCCGGGAACATGTGCCTCCAATGCAATTTGTGAGGCACATCAACATGTGGCAATGTGTCACTGTCCAGAGGGTATGACAGGAAATGCTTTCTCACAATGCATACCCCTGCCACCGGTTCGAGATAGCCAACCATGTCAACCATCCCCCTGTGGTCCAAATTCACAATGTCGTGTCCTTAATGATCAGGCCGTGTGCTCTTGTTTGCCTGACTACATAGGAGCTCCACCATCCTGTAGACCTGAGTGTAGTAACAACAATGAATGTCCCCTGAACAGGGCTTGTCTGCAACAAAAATGCCGAGATCCTTGTCCCGGTTCGTGTGGAGCAAATACCGAATGTTCAGTACACAATCACAGTCCCATTTGTCGCTGTCTTAATGGATATAATGGTAATCCTTTCGTAGGATGTGAACGCATTCGAGTCGTGCCACAATTAGACAGCCCCTCAAAACCAAAGGATCCATGCCGTCCCTCACCATGTGGTCCCAATTCTGAATGTCGGTCAATAAATGGAAATCCTTCGTGTTCTTGCCTGAAAGATTTCATTGGATCACCACCAAATTGTCGACCAGAATGTGTAACAAATTCGCAATGCCCATCAAATCAGGCTTGCATTAATCAACATTGCCGCGATCCTTGCCCTGGAGTGTGTGGTTCCAATGCCCAATGCCGTGTTGTTAATCACACACCAATGTGTTATTGTGAAACTGGTTTCACAGGAGATCCATTTACGCTCTGCTCTCAACTGAGAGATGTTAGTCCACCGGAAATTGTCAGACCTTGTGAACCAAATCCATGTGGTGCCAATGCTGAATGTCTGGAACGTAACGGCGTTGGAGCTTGTAAATGTCTGCCCGAATACTTTGGTAATCCCTATGAAGGCTGTCGTCCTGAATGTGTAATCAATTCCGATTGTCCAGCACATTTGGCCTGTGTGCAGAATAAATGTAAAGATCCTTGCCCCGGAACTTGTGGTCGTAATGCCAACTGTTTGGTGCGCAATCATTTGCCCACATGTAATTGTCTTGCTGGTTATACTGGTGATCCATACCTCTACTGTAATCTGCTGCCAGAACGTAAGATGATCTGCACTGAGAAAGTGAATGGAGAGAGACTAATTAATCTCCTAATTCCCTCCCCCATTTTAGCAATCTACGATGTCATTACCAATCCTTGTCAACCTTCACCCTGTGGTCCCAATTCTCAATGTCGTGAGGTACAAAATCAAGCGGTATGCTCGTGTTTGCCCACGTTTGTGGGACAACCACCAGCCTGTCGTCCTGAGTGTACCCTGTCTAGTGAATGTGCCTTTGATAAGGCTTGTGTAAATCAAAAATGTGTAGATCCATGTCCGGGAACATGTGGCCTTAATGCCGAGTGTCGTGTACGTATTCATAGTCCATTGTGTTCGTGTAGGCCAGGTTTTACAGGCGATGCATTTGTGCGTTGTCTCCCCATACCACCAAAACGTAAGAGTGAACATTATAAAATTTCCTTGGAAGTTTATTAACCCTCCCTTTAAATATAGCATCAAGTCCGATAATTCTCAAGGATGTAAGACGTGATCCCTGTATACCCTCGCCATGCGGTTTGAATGCCCAATGTCGTGTTGTTAATGAACAAGCCTCATGTTCGTGTCTCAATAATTACTTTGGTTCACCACCCAATTGCCGACCCGAATGTACCATCAATGCTGATTGTCCCGCAAATTTGGCTTGTATAAATGAGAAATGTCGCGATCCATGCCCAGGCTCATGTGGGCTTTCAGCTTTGTGCTCAGTTGTTGCACATACTCCCATGTGTTCATGTCCCACGGGTTACATTGGTGATCCATTTACAGCCTGTACCCCGAAACCCATACAGCAGGAACCAAGTAATATTTTTATTAGGAAAATTATTTTAGGAATCCGCAATTAAATCCCCTTTTTTTAATTATATAGTTGCACCCAAAGATCTGTGTAATCCCTCGCCGTGTGGTCCCAATGCTCGTTGTGACAATGGCCAATGTACTTGCCTGCCCGAATTCCAGGGCAACCCTTATGTCGGCTGTCGTCCCGAATGTGTGTTGAATACAGATTGTAGTCGCGATAAGGCTTGTATACGCCAAAAGTGTCAGGACCCATGTCCTGGTACATGTGGCATTGGCGCCCAATGTGATGTTATCAATCATGTGCCCATGTGCAGTTGTCCCGCTCAAATGACTGGCAATGCCTTTGTCCAATGTCAAAACATTGAAAGTATGTTTAATAAACGAATGTCCGAAATTATTAGTCCTACAATACTTTTTAAAATTTTAGCTCCTGTTGTCGAACAACCTGAACATCCATGTCAACCAAGTCCCTGTGGTCCGAATTCCCAGTGTCGTGAATTTAATAATCAAGCTGTGTGTTCTTGTCTGCCAAACTTTTTGGGAACACCACCCTATTGTAGGCCAGAGTGTACAATAAATTCGGATTGTGCTCCCAATATGGCTTGTGTTAATCAAAAATGTCAGGATCCTTGTCCGGGATCTTGTGGTCTACGTGCCGAGTGTCAAGTTGTAAATCACATACCACATTGTAAATGTCCCCCGGGTTATACAGGTAATGCATTTGTCATGTGCCAGTTGTTACCACCGCCGCCACCAGTGAAGATCCAAGAGGAACCTGCAAATCCTTGTATACCCTCTCCCTGTGGCCCCAATTCCGAATGTCGTGTGGAAAGAGGCTCAGCATCCTGTTCATGTTTGGAAAATTACATCGGAGCTCCACCCAATTGCAGACCTGAGTGTATCAGTTCCTCAGAGTGTCCCAGCAATTTGGCCTGCATCAATATGCGTTGTCGCGATCCTTGTCCCGGTGTGTGTGGTGAATCTGCCATATGCCAGGTTGTTAGCCACATTCCATCCTGTCTTTGTGTCAATGGCTATGTTGGAGATCCATTTACTCGCTGTGAGCCACCGCCTCAAATTGAACGTGACCATGTAACACCTTGCTCACCGAGCCCATGTGGCAGTAATGCCATATGTCGTGAACAAAACGGAGCCGGTTCCTGTCAATGTCTTCCCGACTACTTTGGCAACCCCTACGAAGGCTGTCGCCCCGAATGTGTCTTGGATTCGGATTGTCCTGCCAATAATGCTTGTCAGAACAACAAATGCCGTGATCCTTGTCCCGGTGTTTGTGGACAAAATGCCCAATGTGATGTCATCAATCATCGTCCCACCTGTTCCTGTTACCAGGGTTACTCCGGTGATCCTTACAGCTATTGTAATCTGATTAGAGAACGTAAGATTTCAAATTGTTCTATAAGTAGTCTTCCTAGTAGCAGTTTGAACTTAGTTTGTAATTTGTATTTTTCTAATGTAGCTATACGTGACTATGTAAATCCTTGTGTGCCCTCGCCATGTGGTCCCAATTCACAGTGTAGTGAAATTGCGGGTCAGGCGAGATGTTCATGTTTGCCAGACTATGTGGGTACACCACCAAGTTGTCGACCAGAATGTACAGTGAATAGTGAATGTCCCGCCTCGTTGGCTTGTATAAATCGCAAATGTCAGGATCCATGTCCTGGTGTATGCGGTACACAGGCCGAGTGTCGTGTCATACAACATTTACCAAGTTGCAGTTGTGTCAATGGTTATACCGGAAATCCATTTACATCATGTCATCCCATACCGACCACCGTTGTAACACCAGCTAGGGAACCATATCGTAATCCTTGTGTGCCCTCACCATGTGGTCAATATGGTCAGTGTAGGGTAATTCAAGGTGACCAATACACATGCAGTTGTCTACTTTCATATGTTGGTTCTCCGCCTAACTGTCGACCAGAGTGTGTAATAAATTCTGATTGTCCATCTAACTTGGCTTGTATAAATGAGCATTGTCAAGATCCCTGTCCCGGCTCGTGTGGTTTGAATGCCCTTTGCTCAGTTACAAATCACATACCGATTTGTGTCTGTAGTCCAGGTTATATCGGAGATCCTTTCACTCGTTGTTTGCCTGAAACAAAACCCACACCTATCGCACCAATTGCCGACGAAGATCCTTGTCATCCCTCACCCTGCGGTTCTAATGCCGAATGTAGTGGTGGCAAATGTTCTTGTTTGCCCGAATATCACGGCGATCCATATGTCTCCTGCAGACCTGAATGTATACTCAATTCGGAATGTCCAAGTAATTTGGCTTGCATCAATCACAAATGCCAAGATCCCTGTCCTGGTACTTGTGCCTCCAATGCCATATGTGAAGTACATAATCATGTACCCATGTGTCATTGTGGCGAAGATATGGTGGGAGATGCATTTGTTTTGTGCCGTCCTAAACCACAACCTATTATGGATCCTACAAATCCTTGTATTCCCACCCCATGTGGTCCCAATTCGCAGTGTCGTGAACAAAATGGCGTAGCCATTTGTTCATGTTTGCCAGAATTGATGGGTTCTCCTCCATCCTGTCGTCGTGAATGTGTTACCGACTCTGAATGTGCCCTCAATCGTGCTTGCATCAATTATAAATGTCACGATCCATGTCCAGGAAGTTGTGGTCAACGTGCTGTTTGTCATGTGGTTAATCACAGTCCCATTTGTTCTTGTCCGCCGGGTTATACTGGCAGTCCCTTCATCGCCTGTCAGCCAATAAGTAAGCACCTTGTTAGGAACCCTTTAGGTACAATTTATAACTATTATGATTTATTACCCACAGTGGTTCCACCACCTGTTCGAGATGTAATGCCACAAAATCCTTGTATACCCTCACCATGTGGCCCCTACTCGCAGTGTGATCAGAATCAAGGTTCTGCTTCATGTAAATGTTTGCCGAACTATCAAGGTTCTCCACCATATTGTCGTCCCGAATGTGTTTCGAATTCAGAATGTCCGTTTACAAAGGCTTGTATCAATCAGCAATGTCAAGATCCCTGTCCCGGTGTATGTGGTCAAAATGCAATTTGCCGCAGTATTAATCACATGGCTATGTGTTCATGCGAAGAAGGTTATGAGGGAGATCCATTTACCTATTGTCGTCAAATTTTACCAGCACCTCAGTATAATCCAACTGCTGTTGTTCATTCACAACCTTCTACGCCTACATTGCCACCTCCACCACCACCACAGCATGAACATGTGGAACCTTGCATACCCAATCCATGTGGACCCAATGCCGAGTGCCTTTCCAATAATCGTGTAGGATCTTGTGTTTGCTTACGCAACTACTATGGAAATCCCTACGAAGGTTGTCGCCCCGAATGTGTTCTCAATTCCGATTGCCCCAACTCTCGGGCATGTATTCAAACCAAATGTCAAGATCCATGCCCTGGAACATGTGGTCAAAATGCCCAGTGTTATGTTAATAATCATTTGCCCTCATGTTCTTGCTACGAAGGGTATTCCGGTAATCCCTACAGTATCTGTCATCCTATACAACAAAGTAAGAAAATAATTCACTCGAATACCATGAAGGAAACAAATTTCATATTTCCCCCCATTTTGTATTTATCAGGAGAACCCATAGTCGAATATAAAAATCCTTGTTCACCTTCACCCTGTGGTCCGAATAGTCAATGTCGCGAAATTAATCAACAAGCGGTATGTTCATGTCTGCCTGATTTTATTGGTACTCCGCCAGCATGTCGACCTGAATGTACCACCAATAGTGAGTGTGCCTTGAATAGGGCATGTATTAATCGTAAGTGTACTGATCCCTGCCCCGGCACATGTGGTCTTAATGCCGAATGTCGTGTGATTTATCATAATCCGATGTGTTCATGTTTGACCGGATTTGAGGGTGATGCCTTCACCAGATGTTATCCAGTACAGCAATGTAAGATTGCTTCTTTTTGTGTAAACGATTTGCAAGACTTTTCTAAACTCAATTATTCAAATTCAGCTATTCCTGCTATTTCACATGAACCCACAATGAGACCTCAACCACCTAGTGTGATCTATGAAACAGCAACCAGACCTCAATACCCAGCTACGTATCGTCCCTCAGTTGTTTATGAGGAATCCACATCAAGACCTCAGCAACCTCCAATCATTATCAATGAGAGCCCAAGACCAATTACAACATCTAGACCTCAGCAACCTCCAATAATTGTCAATGAAACACCTAGACCTCCTCGACCTCCAGTTATTTATGAAGAACCCACACGAAGACCTCAACAACCACCTTCTGTAATCTATGAAACCAATAGACCAATTACATCTCAACCTCCAGTTATTTATGAGGAATCCACACGAAGACCTCAACAGCCTCCATTCATTATCAACGAAAGTCCCCGTCCAGTTATCCCTCAGCCACCAGTTATTTACGAGGAACCCACAAGAAGACCTCAGCAACCACCTAATGTTATCTATGAAACAAACAGGCCCACAACTTCTCAACCCCCAGTTATTAATGAGGAGTCACAACGTCCCAGACCACCAGTCACTACATATCAACCTACTCCTGAACCCATAAACCCCTGTTACCCCTCACCATGTGGACAATTCGCCCAATGTCATAATCGCCAAGGCATTGCCATTTGCTCTTGCCTGCCCAGTTACATTGGCACACCACCATATTGTCGTCCAGAGTGTACGATCAATTCAGATTGTCCTCCGAATAAGGCTTGCTTTAATGAAAAATGTCGAGATCCCTGTCCTGGTTCATGTGGCTTCAATGCCCTCTGCAATGTGGTTAATCACATACCAAATTGTATTTGTGAATCTGGATTTACGGGCGATCCTTTCACGGAATGCTTACCACCAAAGGTGACAATTAAGGACAGTGAAAATCCTCCAGCATACCACGATCCCTGTGTACCATCACCGTGTGGTGTGAATGCCCAGTGCGATCAAGGTTCTTGCTCTTGTCTACCGGAATTCCAAGGCGATCCTTATGTAGGATGCCGTCCCGAATGTGTACTCAACGATGATTGCTCACGAGATAAGGCATGTGTGAATCGTAAGTGTCAAGATCCTTGTCCAGGTGCTTGTGGTCTTCAAGCCATGTGTGAAGTACGAAATCACATTCCCATGTGCTCTTGTCCAGCGGGTATGACCGGTGATGCATTTATACGTTGCGAACCTGTACGTGATGTTGCGTTTGCTGAAAACCCTAGAGAGGATCCTTGTTATCCCTCGCCATGTGGTCCCAATTCTCATTGTTTGGAGGTTAGAGGTCAAGCTGTGTGCAGTTGTGTAATTGGTTATTTGGGTTCACCGCCATCATGCCGTCCCGAATGTACCACCAACTCAGAATGTCCATCGGATAAATACTGTCTTAATCAAAAATGCAGAGATGCCTGCGTGGGAGCATGTGGTATCGGAGCCAGATGTCAATCATATGATCACACACCGCGTTGTTCCTGTCCACCCAGATATACTGGAAATCCTTTCATACGCTGTACTCCAATAGGTAGTTTTCCGCTCGCAACGACCCGCCCCCTATCATGTCTTCAGATTCTTTAATGCCTCTCTTTGAAAATATTTTTTGCAGTTGAACAAATTCGTCAGCCCCCAATTAGTGATGTGTCTCCACCAAATCCTTGTCAACCATCACCGTGCGGTCCATATTCTGAATGTTCTGTTGCGGCAGATAATTCAGCAAAATGTTCATGTCTGCGCGATTATTTAGGTCAGCCACCACGTTGTCATCCAGAATGTACGACCAGTGCCGATTGTCCCTCGGATAGGACGTGTGTCAATCAAAAATGCATTGATCCTTGTCCGGGAACATGTGGCCATCAGGCTGAATGCCATACAAACTCGCACACAGCCATGTGCTATTGTCCTCCTGGCTATGTGGGAGATCCATTTGTCAGTTGTGTCCGACAACAAGATCCCCCAATTGAAGTTACGGTACCGTGCCATCCCAGTCCCTGCGGCACAAATGCAATTTGTCGCGAACAGAATGGCCTAAGTCTGTGTCAATGTCTACCCAATTACTATGGCAACCCCTATGAAATTTGTCGTCCTGAATGTTTGCATAATGCTGATTGTCCAGCCCACAAAGCATGTCAGAATATGAAATGTATTGATCCCTGTCCGGGGTCATGTGGTCATAATGCTCTCTGTCAAGTGGTTAATCATATACCCAATTGTGTATGTCTCAGGGGATATGAGGGTGATCCGTATAGACAATGTCATAGACCTTTGGATGAACGTAAGATTTTCCATTCTCTCTCTCTTTTTTGCTATCCTCTCCTCCAAAACAACCAAACAAACTTAATCAACTAATTCTTCGAAGTATTTACTTCAAAATGTAATAATTTTTAACCAAGGTTTGACAAAATTTCGAAAGGGAAATTTTGTCTTCGCTTTTTTTACACCGCCCCTGACGCCCAACATGTCCACTTACAATACCTTTATTAACTTATTTGTCTCGTCTGAAGAACGAAATAATATCTAATCTTTAAGATTTCTTTGAAATCGGTCCCTGGAAGTTAATTCACAGTAACTAGCGCTCAACATGTGCACTTTTAACCTCTGATAGGCAGCTTTAAATACTGCAACAAATAAATACAAGCTCTTTCCTCCTACCGAAAACCAATTAATGTCTAATGCCAACCTGGCGTTCTCCAACGAACCAAATAATATTTATTATATAATTTTTTTTTATGCAGCTTTTCTTTCCTCAAAAATCAATTAATATTTAATATTACTACTGGCGCCCATTGTGGCACTGGTCTAATCTTTTTTTAATTTTATCAGCAGCTACCAAAGAAACCCCACCTTTTGCATATCTCTCATTTCACAGAATCTCTTTAACGCTTCCGAAAAACCAAATGCCTTGCTTTATAAACCCAATACGCTTATTGCTTATATGCTTTTCTAGACGTTAAGTTATGCTTAGAAAGCTTTTAAATTAAAAGCTTTGCTTTTTATTGAATTGCAACACAAATTAACATATCTATATCCAAAACTCAAAATTCGTACAGCCAAACCTCCAGTGTATGTGAACCCCTGCGATCCATCACCCTGCGGTGCCAATGCCCAATGCCGTGAAGTTAACGGTCAAGCTGTTTGCTCTTGCCTACCCGATTTTATGGGATCACCACCAGCCTGCCGTCCAGAATGTGTTGTCAGTTCGGAATGTCCCTCGGACAAGGCTTGTATTAATCAGAAATGTAAGGATCCCTGCCCAGGAGTTTGTGGCCAAAATGCAGAGTGTCATGTACGCAGTCATAGCCCATTGTGTTCGTGCAGACCCGGCTTTACTGGAGATGCTTTTACGCGTTGCTTGCCCATACCAGCAGCCAAGGATAATGAACCAATACCGCCACCAGTTAACCCATGTTTGCCCTCACCTTGCGGTCCTTACTCTCAATGTCGAGAAGTCAATGGTGTGGCCTCATGCAGTTGTCTACCCAATTATATTGGTTCGGCACCCAATTGCCGCCCTGAGTGTACCATTAATGCGGAATGTGCCAGCAATCAGGCTTGTATCAATGAAAAATGTCGCGATCCATGTCCAGGCTCTTGTGGTTTTGATGCTTTGTGTAATGTCATCAATCATACACCAAGCTGTTCTTGTCCCGCCGGTTATACCGGAGATCCATTTACCAGCTGTAGACAATTGCCACCTCCACCACCACCAAGTATGATTTATAAGCTCAACGAAAGTGCTTCCAATTCTTATATTCCTCCTTATTATACCCCATTTGTAGGACCAAGAGACCCCGTTGATCCCTGCAATCCATCACCATGCGGTTCCAACTCCGTGTGTCAAAATGGCAAATGCTCTTGCCTGCCAGAATATCATGGCGATCCTTATGTTGGCTGTCGTCCCGAATGTGTATTGAATTCCGATTGTGCACGTAACCGTGCCTGCGTTCGCAATAAATGTGTCGATCCTTGTCCGGGAACTTGTGGCCAGAATGCTCTGTGTGATGTCATCAATCACATTGCCATGTGTCGCTGTCCTGAGCGGATGACTGGTAATGCCTTCGTGGCCTGTGAAGCAGTACGTGAGGAACCACCAAAGAATCCATGCCAGCCATCACCTTGTGGCCCCAATTCTCAGTGTGTGGAACGTAATGGTAATGCAGTATGTTCTTGTATCACCGGTTACTTAGGTAATCCACCAAACTGCCGCTTGGAATGTTACACCAGTTCGGATTGTTCGCCGATACATTCGTGTATCAACAACAAATGTGTAGATCCTTGCCCAGGCAAGTGTGGTCTTAATGCTGAATGTCAAGCCGTACAACATAGGGCCCACTGTGAATGTTTGCGTGGCTATGAGGGAAATCCTTATTCAGTTTGTAATCGTATAGGTATGCTTTTAGAGATTTTCAGGGTTTCCAGGGAACTTTTACTAAATTGAAAATATTCTTCGTCTCGTCTAGAAATACGTCGTGATCCTCCAGAAACACCCAAGGATCCTTGTTATCCGTCACCATGTGGCCCCAATGCCCAGTGCTTGGCTGTCAACGGCAAAGCTCAGTGTTCATGCTTGGCCGAATATATTGGTAACCCACCAAACTGCCGTCCCGAATGTAGTAACAACGATGATTGTCCCAACAATTTGGCCTGTATCAATCAGAAATGTCGCGATCCTTGTCCTGGTTCATGTGGTTTCAATGCCAATTGCATTGTCACCCTACACATGGCCAATTGTTATTGTCCCACAGGCATGACCGGTGATCCATTCCGCATGTGTTACGAGCGTAAAGAAAGTAAGGCAGAGTTTTGCTTTATAGAAAATATTTTTTGGCAATGTAGGTTCCGTAGGATTTATATTTAATCACTATTTTTCTTCTTTACAGTTTTACCACCCCAACGTGAGGAACCCAAGAATCCTTGCCGTCCCTCACCTTGCGGCAGCAATGCTGAATGTCGCATACGTGGTGATGGTTTCACTTGTGAATGTGTCCGCGACTATATTGGCAACCCCTACGAAGGCTGTCGTCCTGAATGCGTTGGCAACTCGGAATGCCCGGCCAATCGTGCCTGTATACACCAGAAATGTGCCGATCCCTGCCCTGGAACCTGTGGTGTTGAGGCTGTTTGCACGATTAACAATCACATACCAATATGCTCATGTCCCAACGGCTACACTGGCAATGCCTTTGTCCAATGTTCGCCAATTGTGGTGCAAGAAATCCCGGTCGAAAAACAAACAGACCCATGCTATCCAACACCTTGTGGCCAGAATACAATTTGCCGTACGCAAGGTAAACAGGCTGTGTGTGAATGTCTGCCAGGCTTCTTTGGAAATCCCTATGGCCCTGAATGTAGACCCGAATGTACACTCAGCTCCGATTGTGCCAAGAATAAGGCATGTGTTAACAACAAGTGCGTGGATCCTTGCCCTGGTGTCTGTGGTTATGGAGCTGTCTGTCAGACCGTGAATCACAATCCCATCTGTTCATGTCCCTCATCAATGGTTGGTAATCCATTCGTTGAATGTCACGAAGCACCCAAACAATTGGACCCCTGCAATCCATCACCTTGCCGTACAAATGGTGTATGCCGTGTCCGTAATAATGTTGCCACCTGTTCCTATCCCGAATGTGTGGTAAATGAAGATTGTTCACGTGATCGAACCTGTGTCAATCAGAAATGTCGCGATCCTTGCATCAATGCCTGTGGCCTTAATGCCATTTGTACCAGTGTCAATCATAAGGCGGTGTGTACATGTCCTCCCGGCTTCTATGGTTCACCATACAACAGTTGTATGCAACAAATGGATGTTGTACCAGTACCGAAACCAGAATGTGTTTCGGATAACGATTGCAGCAACGACAAGGCCTGTGTGAATCAGCAGTGCAAGAATCCTTGTGAACTGGATAATATTTGTGGTCTAAATGCCCGTTGCCATGTCCAACGCCACAGGCCATTGTGTGTCTGCAATGAAGGCTACACCGGAAATGCTTTGAATAATTGCTATTTGATTGGCTGCCGTTCCGATGAGGAATGTCCCGCCACTGAGGCTTGCATCAATAAGCAATGTACCGATCCATGCCTGTACACACAATGTGGATCCCAAGCCATCTGCCGTTCCGATTATAATCACAAGGCTAGATGCCATTGTCCCGATGGTTATCGCGGTAATCCTTTGGTGCGTTGCGAGAGACCTGAATGTACTCGTGATGATGATTGTGCCTTCAATTTGGCCTGCCGCAATGAACGTTGTGAAGATCCATGCAACTGTGGCCTCAATGCTCAATGTCGTGTCAATAATCACCAGGCTCAATGTAGATGTCCCCCCGGTTATGTGGGTAATCCCGCGGTACGCTGTGACATTGAAGAAGCTAAGGTCGCACCTCAATGTACCATGGATTCGGATTGTAGCAGTAAGTTGGCATGCTTCTCCGGCGAATGTAAGAATCCTTGCATTGTAACGCAGCCATGTGGAGCCAATGCTAAATGCTCTGTGGTGGATACTTTGCCATTGCGTACCATGATCTGTGAATGTGAACCTGGTTATGTGGGTGATGCTGATGTTGGTTGTCGTAAGGGTAAGTTGCAATGTTCCTGGGAGTACAATAGAAAACAAATATTATTTCAAAATTGTTTACAGTTTTGATTTTATTTCATATTGCAGCTTGCTTTTTATTTCAGAAGAAAAAAACAGATCCTCTATTTCTTTTGTATAGTCCTTAGAGCACTTTCTTTTGTTTTAATAATTTCAAGCAATCTAATATTTAGTTTCACAACTCTTAACAGAAGCACCAAGCACAAGTGCACCCCAAAATATTTGCTGGATACTAATCGGTTTTTTTTTTATTTTGAACAGAACCTGTACGCGATCAAGGTTGCCAATCGAATGAGGAATGCCCCTCTACGGAGGCCTGCCGCAATGGTAATTGTGTTAATCCTTGTATTGATTCCTCACCTTGTGCCCGTAGCGCCGAATGTTTGGCCCAACAACACAGAGCCATCTGTACCTGTCCCCAGGGAACCCAGGGTGATCCGTTCGTTAATTGCTATCAACCACGTAAGTAGGAGTTTCAAAAGAAGATCTGGAGAGATTGAGTGCGTAAGAGATGAATAAATTTTAATTACGATTTTTATTTTTGCAGCTCAAATCACCGCCGGTTGCACCCATGACTCTGAATGCCCACCCACGGCTGCCTGCATCAACAAACGTTGTCAAGATCCTTGTGCCGAGGGTAATCCATGTGCCGGCAATGCTGAATGTCGGGTACTCAACAATCGTCCAATCTGCTCCTGTCCTTCAGGATGGGGAGGTGATCCACAAATTCAATGTTTCAAACGTATGTTGTCTGTACCCACAATTTCAAAACCCCCTTTTCTAACCTCTATTTCTTATCTTCCTAACAGCTGAATGTAAAATCAATGCCGACTGTCCTTACGACAAATCGTGTATCAATGAAAATTGTGTCAATCCTTGTACCTATGGCAATGTACGCTGTGGCACCAATGCTCAGTGTGAACCACAAAATCATCAAGCCGTTTGTGTCTGTCCCGCCGGTACCCAGGGTAATCCATTTGTGTCCTGTATCACTGGTCATTGTCAATACAACGAAGATTGTGCCGACCATGAGGCTTGCGATCGTTTGAATCGTGTTTGCCGTCCCGTCTGTGATGAGGATACTTGTGCTGTGAATGCCATTTGCTTGGCCAGGCAACATCAACCAATGTGTCAATGTCCAGCTGGCTATACCGGAGATCCATACCAACAATGTCTAATGCCCAAACAACCACCGGCAACTAAACCCAAACCGGAATGTACCCAGGATGCTGATTGTCCATCACAACTGGCTTGCATTAATCAGAGATGTGCCAATCCTTGTGCTGCTCCACATGTCTGTACACCTCGACAAACTTGCACAGTTTTGGACACCTTGCCACTGCGTACCATGATTTGCAAGTGCCCAAGTGACACGATAACCGATAATTCTGGCAATTGTGTACCCATTAAACACGATGTCATTGTGGGTTGTCAACACAATGATGAATGTGCCAATACGGAAGTCTGCCAGAGAGGAAACTGCATTAATGCTTGTCGTCTGGAACGTTGTGGTGTCAATGCCCAATGTTTGGCTCGAGATCATTATGCCCAATGTACCTGTCCTAAGGGTTATGAAGGCAATCCAAGAGTTGAATGTCGCGGTGTTGTTTATGAACAACCCAAGACACCAGCCGAATGTACCACCAATGATGATTGTCCACATGATAAGACCTGTCGCAATGAGCGTTGTGTTAACCCCTGCGTTGAAGAGCCATGTGGTCAAGGTGCCTATTGTCATGTTCAAAATCGCCAGGCCATTTGCCGCTGTCCTCCGGGATATAGCGGAGAACCCAAACAAGGATGTGTACCACGTAAGTTAAAATAATTTTAAGACCCCAAAAGATGTTCTTCCTAACCTCGATTTTTTTCATAGCGCGCGATGTCATCACAGTCGGCTGTAAATCGAACAGTGACTGTCAACTCACCGAATCCTGTGTCAATGAACAGTGTGTTAACCCTTGCAATTGTGGACCCAATACCGAGTGTCAAGTACGCAATCATCATCCTATTTGCTATTGCAAACCTGGCTTCTCGGGCAATGCCCAATATGGCTGTGTCCAAATCGGTTGCCAATCGGATGATGAATGCTCTGCGGATCAACAATGTGTTAATCGTGAATGTGTCAATCCTTGTCTGATCAGTGACCCCTGTGCCTTGAATGCCGAATGCTTTGGCCGCAATCATCGTGCCACATGCCGTTGCCCAGCTGGCATGCAGGGTGATCCATTTGTCCGTTGTATTCGCGTGGAATGTAATTCCGATTATGACTGTGCTTCTAATCAAGCTTGTGTCCAGAATTTGTGTATCAATCCTTGTCGCGATCAAAGCAACCCATGTGCACAGAATGCCATCTGTCAGGCTTTGCAACATCGTGCCGTCTGTAGATGTCCAGACAATATGCCATTGGGTAACCCCTATGCTTATTGTGAGAGCAGACCTCAAGAGCCTGTATGCCGAGATGATGGTGATTGTCCAAGTGGTTTGGCTTGTATCGACGTGAAGTGTCAAAATCCTTGTACCGAACTTTCGCCATGTGCCGCCTCGGCCCAATGTAGTGTTTTGGACAGTGTCCCAGTTCGTACCATGGTTTGTGAATGCCCAGCTTCGTATGTACCCGACTCTCGAGGTGAATGTAAACAATTGGTACTGCAAACTCCATCTGGCTGTTCCTCGGATTCTGATTGTTCCGACCAAGAGGCTTGTATCAATCGTCAATGTCGCAACCCATGTAATTGTGGTACCAATGCCCTATGCCAAGTCAGCAACCATCGTGCCATATGCTCATGTCAAGACGGATTTGAAGGTAATCCTTACACCTTGTGTAGATCAATCGGTTGTCGTGTGGATAGCGAATGTGACTCCGGTAAGGCTTGTGTTAATGGTAACTGCATCAACCCCTGTCTGGTTAAGGATCCTTGTGGCATCAATGCCGAATGTTACGTCCAATCGAACCAGGCCATGTGCAGATGTAAGAGCGGTTTCCGCGGTAATGCCTACGAACGTTGTCGTGTCATTGGTTGTCAATCGAACAACGACTGTCCATCGGACAAATATTGCTACAACGAACAGTGTGTCAATCCTTGTGTCTATCAGAATACATGCTCACCACGTGCCGAATGTCGTGCTCAAAACCATCTGGCCATATGTCGCTGTCCTGCTGGATTTATTGGTAATCCATATGTGGACTGTACCTTGGAAGAACAGCCAGCTTGTAGATTGGATACAGATTGCCCCTCGCGCTTGGCTTGTATTGGCAACGAATGTGTAGATCCTTGTCTGGTTTTGGAACCATGTAATAGACCAGCCCAATGTGAAGTGACACCAACATCACCGGTCCGTACCATGATCTGTGTATGTCCTGATGGTTATATCAGCAGTGGAAGTGGTACCTGTCAACCCACAAAGACCATCATTGAAGTAGGAGGTTGTGTGGCTGATTCTGATTGTCCCAGCGATAGATCATGTGTGAATGGAGTATGCCGTGACCCATGTAATTGTGGCTTGAATGCCGAGTGTCGTATTAAGGATCATAAGCCTGTATGCACATGTCGCCAAGGCTATGAAGGTAATCCTGAATTTGAATGCTCTAAGGTGGAATGTTCCATCAATTCGGATTGTCCATCGACCCATGCCTGCCGTAACAATCTCTGTGTGCCCGCCTGTCAAGGAGAACAATGTGGTTTGAATGCCCAATGTTTGGCTGTGGAACATCGTGCTGTATGTCAATGTATTCCTGGCTTTAGAGGTAATGCTCGTATCTCATGTACTCCATTGGGATGCCGCAGCGACAGTGAGTGTCCTGCCGATAAGGCTTGTGTCAATGGTAAATGTGAAAATCCATGTGAAACCACGGCCGCTTGTGCCATTGATGAGGTCTGCAAGGTCTATCAACATCGTCCACAATGTGCCTGTCCACCTGGTACTGTGGCTCGTCGCAATGGCTGTGAACCGTTACGTGATATCCCCATTTGTCAATATGATGGCGATTGTCCAAGCCAGACAGCATGTATCCGTGGAGAATGTATCAATCCTTGCAATGCCACCCAACCATGTGGTGTCAATGCTAAATGTAAGGTCCTAGACACAGTTCCGGTACGCACCATGATTTGTGAATGTTTGGAAGGTTATACCGGAAATGCTGCGGTGCAGTGCGATAAGCGCTCTTTGTGTGTCATTGAAAAGGGCTTCGTGCGGGATATTGATGGCCAATGTGTGTGTCCACCTGGAACAGCCTTAGATGTCTACGAATACTGTACGCCATGCATTACCGAGCAGGGCTTTAAGATTGATGAAACCGGTCACTGTGTTTGCGCCTTGGAAAGAGGCTTCGTCATTGATGAACGTGGCCGTTGTATTTGCCCAACCGATCATGGCTATCGTTTGACTAGCAGTGGTGAATGTATTCCCGAAGTACAGCCCGAATGTAACATCGATGAAGATTGTGCCGATAATCGTTATTGTCACACCGAAACAAAGACCTGTGAAGATCCATGCCTGCTCAAGACATGTGGTGTCAATGCGTTCTGTAATGCCGTGAATCATCGTGCCCAATGTCAATGTATTGCCGGTTATTCGGGTAATCCTGATTTGATCTGCAATCACACGAACTTCCGTACCGATTTCCCAAGACCTGATATGGTTGTGTCATGTTTGGCCGATGGTGTACAAGTTGAGATCCATATTACCGAACCTGGATTCAATGGTGTATTATATGTCAAGGGTCACAGCAAGGATGAAGAGTGTAGACGTGTTGTCAATTTGGCCGGTGAGACGGTACCACGTACAGAAATATTCCGTGTACACTTTGGTAGCTGTGGTATGCAAGCAGTTAAGGATGTGGCTAGCTTTGTTCTGGTCATACAGAAACATCCGAAATTGGTGACCTATAAGGCTCAGGCATATAACATCAAGTGTGTCTACCAGACGGGCGAGAAGAATGTGACGCTAGGATTTAATGTGTCAATGTTGACCACGGCTGGAACTATTGCCAATACTGGACCACCACCAATCTGTCAAATGAGAATCATAACACATGAAGGTGAAGAAATTAATTCCGCTGAAATTGGTGATAATTTGAAATTGCAAGTTGATGTGGAACCAGCAAGTAAGTATTTTTAAGGAGACATTTTTTTAAGGAGGATCCATTACTAATTTATGTTTTTTTCTCTCTTTTCAGCCATTTATGGTGGCTTTGCCAGATCTTGCATAGCCAAGACAATGGAAGATAATGTCGAAAACGAGTATATTGTCACCGATGAAAATGGTTGCGCCACGGATCCCTCGATATTTGGCGATTGGGAATATAACCCAGATACGAATAGCCTTTTGGCTAATTTCAATGCCTTTAAATTCCCCTCCTCCGATAATATACGCTTCCAGTGTAATATACGTGTATGCTTTGGCAAATGTCAACCGGTCAATTGCCGTGGCTATAATGCATTTGGTCGTCGTCGTAGACGTTCAATAGCGGACAATTCGACCGATGATTCAACGGCAATTGCCACAAACACCGGTATGGAGGGTCAACTGAGAGAGGAAATCACGATATCATCAAATGCCATTTTGACATTTGAGAAGAGAACAACAACGGGAGCTAATGATGCAAATAGTAAGTATTTGAAAAATAAAATTATAAAATTTTATTATAAAAAAAAAATAGTGGATCGATGGCGCCCAATCAATCAGTGGATCTCAAACTTTCATTTTATATCCCTTTTACGCTTCGAATTTGCCCTGCTGTGCTGCTATCATATATATTTTCCAATATTTATTTAATAACATTTCTCATTTTTTTTTCTTCTTCCAGTCAAACCTGCCGCTCAGCGTGTCGAAGATATTTGTGTATCTATGGTGGGTCTTATAATTGCCTTGGTAATTACAGCCCTTTTGGCTTTGGTAGCGGTAGCTGTGGCAGTTTCCTGCTGGCTAATGGCCTACCGAAGAAGACCCAAACAATTGGCGCCACTACCTCATCCACCAGAGTTCCCCAATCCCCTGTTTGCCAATCCCGAAGTAGTGCCAGAACCAACACCAGACTATCTATCGTAAGATACAAATATATCCAAATGTGAGACAATAACAAAAACAAATATTTAGAAAATTAAGTTATATAAAAAATTTTATAAAAAACAGCAACAACAAAAAAACTATTGTAAACACCAAGTGCAAAAAGTTTTAAACGTAAATTTTGGTAAATGACTTTAAAGAAAAACGTTAATGAAGGCGTTTTAAAAAAAATGTTTAATTGAAAAGAAAATTAAAAGTATTTTGGAAAAATGTAAAAAAGAAAAGAAAAAATTAAAAAAAAAATAATTCTATTAGATTAGTTTGTAAAAGCAGAGAGTAAAGAAAACCACTAACATGAGAGTTTCGAATAGTTTAGATTTTTTTTTAATTAAATACCTAACAGAGTTGCATTTAATGCACCACCCTGAGAACTCCTCCCTGCCTATCTGTATCCTTTAAATGTATAGGAAGTGATTTTGTAATTTAATTTAAATTTAATTTAAACAATATTTATATATGTATAATACTGCCAAAGTTATATAACCAACACTGCTTATAAGTTACAAAAACAAAAAACAAAAATATTTAAAGAAGCGGAAGAAAAACAAACAACGAATAAGGGCACAAATAAATGATATGGCAACTCTGTTTTAGGTTAGTTCCTTACAAAGGCAATCAATCACAAACTATTTGCAGATTCTCGTACTAACGACAACTTCTTCATTAGTCAACAAAATATTAGTTTTCAGATTTTTTTTATTTTACTGTTCATCTATGTAGTTGTAAATATAATTCCCCAAACATTCCGTCCAAAATCCCAGAAAAAATACCCTGTCTTCAAAAAAAAAAACAACCATTAAACTGCCAACTAGAACAATGCATAAAAATTCCGATTATATTGTGAATGCAAAATTTAAAAAAAAGACTTATTTCGAAGAACCCTAATATTTCCCCCCACTTTAATACTCAACAAGGAAGTAACCTAAAGATTTCCTGTATGATTTCTAAATTTCTAAATGTCAATAGAACCAGAAGTTCACTGTCAAGAAGTTCCTTCTTTTCCCACTTCCCAAGGGGGGGAAATAATTCCGCAAAAATCCTTTTTTAATTTAAATGTTTATATTTTTTTAATTTTTAAACTGACTAATGGAGGATTTGATTATTATTAATATTTTTTTAATATATCATATAAAAAATATTAACTAATTTTTTTATATATATAAATAACTGTTTTGTTTAATATTTAACGTAATTTTAATTTAAAAAAAATATATAAAAACAAAAAATGCAACTCCTTACTAGGACATTCCCGGGGACCCGCAGCATATGCATAACCCCATTTTAGGATTTCCCCAAATTACTGGGAAAGAATTCCCTCCAATAAATTGGCTTCCACATAGGTGAAAAAATATTGCTGGAATTTTTTTAAACTCCCCTTTGAAGGAACCCCTTTAAAATATAGTTCTTGTAAAATAAATATAGCAGCGAACTAAAAAGAACATATAGTTTATTGTGGGATATTTTTCATAGGGGACCTTAGAAAAATCTCCACAATATTTTTCAACCACACAATCAAATATATTTTAATTATTCAACAGACAATATTATAAATAATTTACACAATGTATAGTCACTTGTTTTTAAGTCAATTTTCCTAACTAGAAACAAAAGAGTAAAATTGCGAAAACATTTTTTTCGAAAACTCTTTAAAAAACACACCAATCTACTTAAATGTTAGCAACGAACGACTAAAACGTTTTTCAAAAATCTCCTAACTTTTAAAATAGATTTCTTAGCAGTTCCCAACCAACCGGACCGAACTAGCGATCCCTACTACCAATCTTACATATATGTAAATATTGCAATTTTTAATTTTCGCTAACAAAAAAAGAAAAGAAAAGAAATCTCTCCCTCCCTAGCCCAGAAAAACGTTTTAGATTTATAAATATATTTTTTTTAATATATAAGTTTATTTATCTTTGTTTTCTTTTTGTACATTAAAACACATTCCTATATAAATATTTCATATTTTTGCTAAATTGCACTAAATCTCCGCTTTTTTAATGCCGCCAGGGCTTTTAAAGTTTTTTTGTTTGTTTTAACCAACATCTCTCTTTTTTTATTTTTTTTTTACTTAAATCAGTCACAAATTACCACTTAAAAATGCTTTTACTTTTCTTATTTTTTTAATTTTCTAAATTTATTTGTTTTTTATTTTAATATATTTTTATATTTTGTCATACTTTTTGCACTGGCGTATTAATATTATTATTTAAATAAAAAATATATAAAAACAACTCTGTATATTAAATAGTTAAATTTAATTTAAAAATGAAAAAAAACTGTATAAAAAACGAAATTATTTTAATTATAATAATAAAAATGCATAAATAAAAAAACTAATATTAAAAAAATAAATAAAATAATAAAAATTAAAAAAAAAACATTGTTTGTTTTTATTTAAGAGAACCCCAATATTCTCGATTTCAAAAAATTTGTATTTTTATACAGAACTACACAACTATGTTGTCAGGGTATTATAGCTTTGTGCAGCACCAAAATATTGGTCCTAGACCCACCTTTAAGTATACCGATCGTCACATCTCGACTAGAGTCGATGTGTGTCCGTCCGTCCGTCTGTCCACAGTTATGTACCAATACAGGCCACAGTTATGTACCAATCTTCATGAAATTTTGCATGTAGGATGGGTTCTGACCAATGAAGACCCCTATTGTTTTTGGCAAAGATCGGTTAATATTTAGGGGATGAAATGGACCAAATACTTACTTTTTTTTGTCGGTTTTTCTGGTCGCTCCAGAGGCCGCAATTATGGTCCGAACATCGCGGACCTACATGAAGAAGGGAATCGTACCAAAGAATAAGCATGCCTATTTTGATAAAGATCGGTCAATATTTAGCGGGTCAAATGGACCCTGACTTTTGTGTGAAAAATGACAAAATTTGTATTCTATGGCGTATATATTTACCCCTGAAGGACATAGACCCGAGAAGTTGATACTATAGCCAAGAGAAGTGGTTGACCTTTAAATTGATACCAATTATATTGTCATACGTACTCGGATGTGGGACTTGCACGTAAATATTTAGAGGTGCTTACGTATTCAGATATTATTTAGTAACCCATTACCACATTAGAGGACGGAAATATAAAGCTGATCGCTTTGAAATTTTCCATGAGGTTCTAGTTATGGTCAAGGACAACGCATATAACTTTTGGTGATGGTCAGATTATACTTATGGGATAAAGTGGACCGAATACTTAATTTTTTTGTGTTTTTTCGAGGCGATGCCAATAATAAGCCAAAAATCACAACACAACCCACGGTGAAGGGAATCTGGACAATTAACTAGAAGCGCTGTACTGAATATGAGTGATATTCGGAAAATATGTCATTTGTAAGGAAGAGGTGCTGTTGAACTATAATCGGGCTAGAGTGAGCAAATATCACGAAATATTGCCTAAGCTCGGAATACACATCCGCAGAAAGTTAGAGTTTGCGTTTTATTTAATTCTAACCTATCCTAATTCTTCCATTCTACTTAAGAATTTAGAAAGGTTACTAGACTCTGAAATTAGGAACATTATCAACCCAAATAAAATTAGCAAATCCCAGCATACATACATCAAAGACAAATCAGTGGACCTTGCCTTATGATGAGGTGATCGGACATATCCAGAAGAATATGAAGACCTTCAGTTACACATTGTCTGTGTTCCTTGACATTGAAGGAGCCTTCAACAATGTGAAGCTGGAAGCTATACATTCTGCTCTCGATAGTTCAGGTATACCCTCCCTCCTAACGGTTTGGATTGATAGAATGCTAGAAAGCAGAATTATCAATTCGTCCATTGGAGAGAGTTCCGTGAGGAAATCTGTCAACAGACGCACACCACGGGGAGGAGTACGATCTCGTCTACTATGGCTTCTGGTGATAATGATAATTCTGAAATTCGATCACCTTCGTATAAAGGTTGTAGCCTATGCCAATGATGTAGTTTCTGATAATCGGACTGTCAACTAGTTATGACATCATGCAGTGTGTCTTATTAACTCTGTCCAAATGGGCACACCCCAATGGACTTGTCGTAAAGCCCACGTAGACAGAAATTGTATTCTTCAATAAAAAAACCTATGATCCCAAACTTTCGATAGCCGTCTTTGGGTGGAAGTGTCACTAAAAACGGAAAAATCCCCATTTGAGAAAATAGGTAATATTTGAACATTTCAGAATACTAAAATCCAGATAATGTATTCCTTTTTTGTAGGTAAGTCATATTGCTACCTTTAATAATCGTAGTGTTTTCTCAATATGGACTATTTTAATTTCCTAGGGATCTAAACTTTAGCGAAATTCCAAAATTTTTTCAACCGAATTAGTCGGAATTTGATATTTAGAGATCGCATATGTAGAAAATATTTCTACCAAATATTATCAGTTTTGGTCCACTTTTTAGGGTAGCCTTCATATAACTGTATCTCGCAAAGTTCGATATTTTGTGTAGTTTGATCACATTTTGTTACTAAAATGGTTGTCATTATATATACGGGATATTGGATACTTATCTAAATTTAAACCGATTCAGTACGTTCTGCAAAATGTTGAGTCTATCGGTCTAACTTTGTGCCTTTGGTGCACTATTTTCTTAAAATCGGCCGCAAATATATATGTGGAAGCTGAACCGATTTCAACAAAACTTGGCACATATTAGACTATACTAGCTTCAGTACGTTGTCCAACATTTTGTGACAATCGACCTAACTTTGGATCATTGGTACACCACATACTTAAAATCGGACGAAACTATATGTTGGAGCTATATCTAAATCTGAACCGATATCATTAAAACTTGACACAAGTTTTGTGCTAATCGGCCTAAATTTGACTCTTTGGTGCACCATTTAATAAAAATCGGACGAAAATATATATGGGAGCTATATCTAAATCTGAATCGATTTTCACGAAACTTAATACACATCATTCTAAATCCAATTCAGTACCCCATGACAAATTTCTTGCAAATCGAA